CAGTGTTGGCAAGTGAAGCTCCAAGGTAATCTGTATAAACCTAAGCTAGTTGTCATGGATATGAAAAAGGTGAAAGGAATCTACTCAACCTTACACAAATACTGGGCTGGCCTGAAGGAATTACTTCCGGTGGAAGCAAAGGGAAGGATTCTCTCCTTATTTGTTGAAATAGCCTTCAGTCAGAAATTAGGTTTAGACTTATGCCTTGTACCATATTCCACAATACATTCTAGATGTGTCCTTAATATTAAAGATCATACTATTGAAAAAAATAGAAGAGAAGAAAGTCATATACCTCTCACAGCTACAGATAGGACATGTTATTCTTGATGAAATAGAGGATAGAGGCAATTATAATAGAGTGGACAACACTGATTTCATGAAATGGAAAAGTTTCTGCACAAACAAAATACATAGACCTTGGATAAAATGGGAAGTGGTAAAATGTGAAAAAAATCTTTGCACCAATGAATTTGGTAATCAAGAAACAAAAACAATGAATAAATAATACATATCTATGTGTATATGTATGTATATATATATATAATATATCCCTTAACTGTATATATACCTACATAAATACATAATTAATATATCTGTTAATTATTTCACCAATAGATAAATGGTCAAAGGATACCAAAAAGTTCTCAAAAGAATTGCAAACTATTAACCACATGAAAGAAAGCTCTAAATCACTAATAATTGGAGAAATGCAAATCAAAACAACCCTGAGATTTCACCTTAAACCTTGTAAATCGGCAAAGATGACAAAAGATGGGAATAGTTGATATTGGGAGAGAGTGTGAGATGATAGGCACTAGATAGAGCTGTGAAACAGTATAATCATTTTGGAAACCAATGTGAAATTATGCGAATAAAGTGACTTAAAATGTCCACATCCTTAAACCCAGAAATTTCATTGTCTTGTACCCCAAGAAGGACTTTGACAAGAAAAAAGTCCCTATAGGTACCAAAATATTTACAGCAACACTTTTTGTGATAGCAAAGAACTGGAAACAAAGTAAATGCCCATCAATTGAGGAATGTCTAAATAAATTGGTATATGAATACAATGGAATGTTAACAAGCTGTAAGAAATGATGAATACAAAGAAGCATGGAAAGATCTATAGGGATACAGAAAACAATATATACAATGACTACAACAATGTAAATGGAAAGAACCACACACACAAATCAAAACTGAATGCTGAAAAATCATAAAGAACAAGTATGTCTTAAAAGAAGAGAGATGAGAAAAACACTCCCACTTCACCTCTTTACAGAGGTCAGAAGTCCACAAGTGTTGCACATTGAACTTATTTTCAGATTTTTGTTGATATATTGACCAATTATGCTGATTCTTTCCTCTTTTTTTTTAATCTTAAAATACTATTTGTTAAATGAAATGGGTTTCTGGGAGGGGAAGGAGTTATGAGAGATACTGGGGAAAATATGGTGATGTTTAAAAAAAAGTACATCAATAGAAATTTATTAAAAAAAAAACAAACAATTTCACAAAAGGGCTCTCATCACTGTCTTGCAGTGAAGAAGAGGTCACATAGCAGCTCTAAGTCATTGTGAGTTTGGCAATAACAGGTCAGCGAATAACCAGCAAATGACATCACCAGCTCTTTGGGGAACATTGAGCAGTTTCAGAGAGAGAGGGGTTTCAGTAAGGGCTTGGCAGTAGGATCATGAGTTGTCTGGGCTTCCTATTATCTCTCTCTCCCAATTCCCAGGGTATAAGAGAGCATATCCGTGTGTGTGTGTGTGTGTGTGTGTGTGTGTGTGTGTGTGTGTATGCATCCCTTGTTATTTACCTTGCTAGTATGTTAAATGATTTTGCTTTGAGTTAATATTTTAAAATTTAGCCAGATAAAAGAAGTTGCAAATGGGGATTTGTGAGCTGGATACTGACCCAAAGCATAGTTTGGAACCTGGGTGTAGTTTTAGGGGGACCATGTTTGTGGGAGAAAGGATCTAACCTACCAGTGCCTTCTCTTCCTAAAAACCTTGTGTTTACTCATCGACATACATGTTGTTTCTCTGACACAATGTAACTCTTCAAGAGTTGAGCCTGGTTGTTTTTGTAGCCTGAGTGCTTTGCATACTTCAGTAACAAAAATCAATGTTTGTTGAATGAATTGAATTGTTTTACCAGGCTATCACAAAAAGTTGGTGGCAGATATACTTATACGTGCAGAGGGGGAGAATTCAGTTCAATATACCAAATACTCAACACTATGCTAGGCACTCAGGGAGATACAAGATTTAGACAAGGCATAGTTTCTTCCCCTAGAGAGTTCAAATCTACTAAGGGAAATGAAACACACATAACACATATGGAAAGGCAACTTTCTAAGATTCTAAGTTGCAAAACCATTGGTTTTTTTTGTTTGTTTGTTTTGTTTTAGGCAATTGGGGTTAAGTGACTTGCCCAGGGTCACACACCTAGTAAGTATCAAGTGTTTGGTCTGAGGCTGGATTTGAACTCCTCCTGACTTCAGGGCTGGTGCTCTATCCACTGCGCCACCTAGCTGCTCCCAAAACCATTGTTGATCTGCATTGTTAGAGCGAGTTCCCTCACTGGGAGTTGTCGTCAAAGATATCACAGATCCATTAGCTAAAAAACCAAACCAAACCAAAAAACAACACCAATAAATACCTGACAACGACAGTACACCTGGGAGTATAACAAGGACTCTCCTCCAGTCTAGAGTCTTTAGGGTTTTTCAACTTTGATTAACACAAGATTTTTTTTCTTTCTAGAATGAGAAACCACTAAGAATGGAGACTGGCAGGAAAAACCTATTCCAAAAGAGGCACGGAGGATTCTTGGCCTGAGCACGGGGAAAAAACAAAACAAAACAAAACAACATGGTGCTATGACAGAAAAGAGAGAGGAAGCTGGTAAGTGGTGAGCACCATAAGACCTGAAAGCAGAATACAGCGGAGGGAAGAAAACCAATTTCATAATTTTCCAAGGGTTTGTGCTAATCTTAATTAAGGATGGGGAAACAGATCATTATGGAAGCCCTGGTTAAGAGCTCTTGTTCTACTCTTGATTTTCTTTGTAGTTATCTGCTTTCGAGTGTTTCCCAGTAGAAAGTAAGCTCTGTGTATTATACACAGTAGGTGTTTAATAAAATGTTGTTAAATTGACTTGAAGTCATTGATATAATCTACATATCAGATGGTTTCTAAGGGAAAAAAAATCACTGGCAACTTTGGCACAGAGGGCCAGGCTTCCCTGGCTACAAGATCTGGGCCAGTGCCACAGACATCTGAGCCAGGGAATTTTGTTGTTGAGTAGTTTGTCATGTCTAACTCTCCATTTGGGGAGAAACCTTATTTGAGGTATTCTTGGCAAAGATACTGGAATGATTTGCCATTTCTTTCTCCAGCTCATTTTACAGATGAGGAAACTGAGGCAAATAGGGTTAAGTGACTTGTCCAGGGTCACACAGCTAGTAGGTGTCTGAGGCTAGATTCAAACTCAGGTCCTCCTGACTAGGCCAGTGCTGTAGCCTTGCACCATCTAGCTGCCCAAACAAGGGATGCTCTGGTGAAACTAGACTGGCAGTCCAGGAGGATCACAGACCACAGTGGTGGCTATGCCCCTGACTTAGCTCAAAGCCTGACCACGTTCTTGAAAGAGAAGCAACTAGGCCAGAAAGACAGCTGAGTCCACAGAATCATTACCGATATACCTGACATAGCCTGAGGTCTGAGTCAAATTATAGGCTATTCACAATCTATGAAGGAACCAGATTCAGACTACTGGTTCTAGGTTGTTAACCATTTATAATCATAGAATTTCCAGAACCTCAGAGGTCTTCTAGTCCAGCTTCTGTCCTAAAGTAGGAATCCAGGAAGGTGAGACCAGATGAGCTTTAATACGATAGGTCCACTTTCTTGTTTCATGGTGTGATATACTAGAAACAGCACCAATCTGTGATCAAGAGACTTGAGTTCTAGAGCCAGCTCTATCATACTGTTATGTGAGCTTGGGCAAGTTACTTTTCTTTAGCTCAATGTCTTAATCTGTAAAATGGAAAAATATCCCACCCACCCTACCTATTGTATAGTGCTATTATTTAATTATTATTCAAATAATAATAATAATAAAAATAACCATTATTATTTAACTAAACCATTATATGTGAGAACACTCTGAAAAAGAATGAGTGATACAAATTATTGTAAAATGTTTTATTTATTAAGTCATCTTGTTTTAAAATAATTAGTTCATATCTGTACAATACTACTACTTGTTTTCAAAGTCCTCCACTTGAGGAATTCTCATTCAGGCATCACAGCTGCATTCACACCCTTCTAACTTTGAAACAATCCTCAATTCTCCGGAAAAAATATGATACAGGATGCAGACATACATATCAGTCACAAACACTGCTTAATAATCCACAAACATATTATTCATTGAAATTTAATTGTATTAAAAAATAATGAACTTGAGATATTTTTAATGGAGAAAAAAGCTGCTTGTTCCAGTGAATAAACTACTGGATACAATTGGCAACTATGGTGATCTGGAAATTTCACTTTCATTTAGTGTTGTTCATTAAGAAGTTTACACAACAATCACTAAAATCTTATTTTTTTTTTATTATGAGCACAGTAATTCTAGATGACCAAGTGCCTCTAAATATATATATTTTTAACTTTTTTTTTAGGCAATTGGGGTTAAGCGACTTGCCCAGGGTCACACAGCTAATAAGTGTCAAGTGTTTGGTCTGAGGCCAGACTTAAACTCAGGTCCTCCTGACTTCAGGGCTGGTGCTCTTTCCACTGAGCCACCTAGCTGCCCCTACTAAAATCTTATTGCTCATGAATCCTGCAAAACTCAAATTTGGATATTTGGTTTTTAGAAAAAAAATTAATTCTTTGGCAAAAGAAATAATATACAAATCCCACATTCTGCTGAGTTGTCAGAAATTTGGATCCTTTAAAGCAAAAATCTGATTAAGGGTCCCTATGTCCCTTAAGAGAAAAATAAAGAGATCACTACGCCCTCAACATGTATGGGAGTTACTTAGGTAATATTTATATCTATAAAGGGAAAAAAATAAAGACTTATCTTCCCCTGGGGGGCAGGAGAGCCATGACCTTCATTTTTGGCAAGGCATCCTACTCACTGTGAATCCTAACTTCTCTGAACCGTAGGAAATTCTGAAACTATAAAGCAGAGACAGGTTATGATTTGTATTTGTAGAAGGAATTGCCACACTGATGAAATTACAGGTGCTTGATGGACTGACATGAGTTTTTCCCACAAGGTTAGAGGGCTAGCTAAAGTGTCTACTGCATATTTTTTGGCACTTTGAGGATACCCTGTAAATATTTCACACTGAATCATAAAGTGTGGGGCTAGTGCTACTGTGCCCCAACACCCTAGCTATTTCCTTGAGCCTCTGGTCTTAGAGTGGTATTCTGTACCAAAGTAACAAGAGAAAAAGAAAACATTTCAAATGAACAGCTGATTTTGGAGAACCACCACTTGCTTTGGGTCTCAACTAGAAAGCATCATCTTCCGATTCATTGTCATTGCTAGGTTTAGTCAGGAGTTCCAGTTCTTCTCCATCCTATAGGAAATATGGGGAAATCAATAATACATTAAAACAATGAACTATAATTATAATTTTCAAAGGCTCCTGAAGAGGGGGAAATGATAAGTTTTGTTTTGCTAAGCTCTTGCTGTCAGATCAAAAAGGCATATTTATAGCTTGTAAAACCAGCTGCCAAAGATCTTGCAAAACTCATTTTATAATAGAGAGATTTTGGTAAAATACAGTCTAAATTTACTGCAAAGTTAAAACTGCCCTGATGTTTTAGTGTTGCCGTAGTTAAAAAAATGTAGATAGCACACTCTGCTGGTCATTACCTGTAATGGCTATAGACAAAAACAACAAAAAACCCAACCCTTCTTCCCTCTTACCCTTCCTCCCTCCCCCATCCCCCCAGGAGTTACTATGTTTAATGCACCGTGTGGGGTGCTAGGCCAGATACAAGGATAAAGAATTGTTGCCCTCAGGAGGGTTTATACATCTTTGTTTAAATAACCAACTAACTCTCACTCTCATCCCATTAGGATGATCAAGACTCCCATCTACCACAATCAATTGATATTCAAAGTAAACGTCTATTTTGTCTACAAAAGCTTTTCCCTACTAAAAACAATCTTAAATTGTCATATGACATATGACAGAACTGTAATGCCACATTACAGACATGTGGAATCTAGTTTCAGATATTTACAGGGCAAGTCACTTAACCTCGGTTTGCCTCAGTTTCCTCATCTGTAAAATTATGATTAACAGCACCTACCTTGCAAGGCTGTTGTGAAGACCAAATAAGATAATAGTTGCAATGCCCTTAGCACAGTGCCTGGTACGTAGTAAGCACTATATTAGCCATTATTATTCACGAATGAAGGGGAACTTAAGGAGATCAATTAGGTTTATATATGTATTATTATCTTTCCATGTATAAATGCTATTTCCTCAACTGGATCATAAGGCTAGGATTTCTGGTCACATTTTTTGTGTATCCTATATATAGCATCTGGCATCTTATCCAGATGTGCAATAAATACTTGCTTACTTAATATTTTCAAGATTCAAGAAATTAACTCTCATCTTTTTGTTTTTACAACCATCCCTAGAATTCTAGTGGAGGGGACAGAAAGTAACTTCTAGGAACTTACCCCACTTGACCGTTCCCAGAGATTGCCACTTAGATCTTTGGTTCTCTCTTGCATAGGAGTATATACCAAGGTTCCAGATTTACTAGAGTTATAAATAAATATAGAAAGAAGGACTGTTGGGGCTTCCAAAAAGAACTCCAAAGATGGTTTGAAGTCAAAGACCAGGACAGATATTGTCATGATTATTACTGTTGTGACTTGAGTCATCAGAACGTGGAACATATTATCTAGGAATTTCAGAATAAAGGCTACTGAGAGACCCTGGAGAGCAGTGACAAAAATAAGTGCCACTGAAAATGCGTTGTGGCCATAAAAAACCCCACAACTCTCCCTCTGGCCACTATTAGTGGTCTGAAGGCTTAGGGTCAGACCATTGAAAAACACTCCAAAGGCATAGAGTTTGCTATTTTGTATGAAGATATTTTCAGTGAGTTGGTCCCCCTCCTTAAATATCTTTTCATTGTAGATGTTGGCCATCGAGGAAATAAAACACTGAACTATCACAAGCACGTGACCAAGGCCCAGGCGAATATGACTGAAAGTCCTGGCAGTAGCATTCCATTTGACTTCAGGAAGAGTCCATTGCTTTGCTGTGCAGTTGTCATTTCCATGGCACTCACTGAGCGGCCTGCGGAGGAGGAAGCAAGAGTTGGATGGACTGAAAAAGGCATCGTGATGAAATCCATGTCTTGTCAAGTGTGTATTTTCAGTCCCTGCAGTCAAGGCCACAATTGACAAAAAGAGAATCATCAGAGAAGCCCACTGTATCCAGGTGAGATGTCGCCTATTCACGAAGGAAAGATAAGACCATATTTACTTGGTATATTTTACTCTGTATCTTTCATGCTTATCATTAAAACCAGCTCATTAGTATTTGTATTAATAAATCATGCACTGCTTTGAAATAATCCCCTGCTGCCCAAGTTCAAAGGAAAGTGATTGTCGTTTCTGGGTCTTAAACTTAGGCTTTTAATTAACATTTATAGAACATCCTTCCCTTCAGGTCACTGAGTCACCTCATACTGAAACTCATTTCGGAACCCTTTCTTCTAACTTCCACATCTAATTATCATGTTTTAAAGGTTCAGACTGGCTTTCTTGTCTATTGTTTTGTTGGTCATGTTCTTGACATATAGTGATAGGGTTCCTGTAAGCTGTATTCACAGAGCATTGCATCATAATCTTGGGAAAGCATCAGATTCATAACAGATTAATAAGAAAATAAACATATCTTTAAGCATCAAAAACTGTTGAAAAACAAATATTACAGCATGGATAGATTTGCACAACTAAATGTCAGATTAAATTCCTTAACATAAACATCTAAACGCCTAAGGCTAGGGAAGGGGATACTTGGTGTGGGTTAGTGAGTATACTAGTGACCAAAAGACAGGGCATATTTCTTTCAGGTGGTCTGATTCAAAACGAAAATGAAGTTTTGAGTGTTCTACTTGTATTTCTGTGTTTAATTACTGGACATTGACTAAAATATTATCATAAAATGGTTTTAACTTAACAAATTGTGATGTTAAAAAAAGTTTATTGCATAAGTGTGATTTTCATTATTGCTTGGGACCCCATTTCCCTTCCACACACACCAGAGGAATACACATCCAATTTTATAATGGAAATTGATAGGAAAATACTATTGTGCCCACAGCCATTTGCCTGACAGAGTTATTTTCTATAACAGTTCTTTTTTTTTTTTCTGAAAAGCTCCTTAAACTACCTGGTAGTTAAGAATTTCAGTTTCATAATTCATAAATAAATGCATGTAAAGTCTTAGAAAGTATTAAAAAAGCTAGCACTATACTAATTTTGATGAGATGAGTTTTAATGAAGATCCCCCTCACTTTTAAGGATAATAAAAGGACATTTTCTCTGAGAAAGGAAAAATCCTCAAAGAGTTCCTTGGACTTGGAGAATTGAGGAAGGTACCAAATTATTTATCATTCTTTGAACAGATAAAAGCCTCACAATTGTATATCCTAACTGATTATTCATAGTCTCATACAGATGTGACTTTCAGTTTGAGGAATCAGAAACAGAAGAAAAAAAAAGAGAATGTCATGTTAAAAGCAAAAAGGACAAGCAACTAATATAATATCACTTCACTAAACTGACAATTTAAATGAGAATTAAGGAGGATTAAAGACCTGGAGAACCATACACTCCAAATGGAGGCAGTGTAGTACGTTAGAAAAAACATTAAACTTGGGACACAAAAGATCTCCACGGCAGCCTCATCTCTTCAATTTACTAGTTCTCTGAGGTTGGGCAAGTCATTCAACTCTCTAATCTATAATAGAGGGAAAATAATACCTCTTCTATCTTTCTCAGAAGTTTGCTGTGATCTTCAAAAGAGACAATGAATATAAAGCTTTTGACAAAGTAAAAGCAAGAAATAAATGTAAGCTAATCATTATCTTAATTTAGGATATTTCAGTTACTGTACTTGGAAATAGCGCCTGATTAACAAAGTTTATAATACCTAATGACCCTAATTTTAAATTATCATCATTAAAATATGATGCACAGATTAGTTTCCCATTAAAGACTGAAAATTTGGTTCAATTCCTTTCACAGTTTGTTAACTTTCTGACTAGCTTAGAATGAGATAATTCATTCCACAGGAATCTGAAAGTTAGTTCTATCATATTGTGAAAAGTTTAAGTCTATCATTATTACTCTACAGTCTATTTGTAACATACCAAATTCCTTGTCTTAAGAGCTATTTTTAAAATGAGAAAAGTTACAATTTTTAAAAATACGTTTAATATATTACATAAGGCATTTTGTAGCCCTATCTCCCAAACTTAAAACATATCAGGAAACTCATGGCTTTCCACATTTGCACATGAAGCTTTGGGTGGATGAATGAAAGTAAAAGCAATTATTAAGCGCTGGTATGTGTTAAGCTCTGTACTAGTAAGGCATGGGGAATACAGAGAAATCAAGATAGCCCCTGATCTTAAGGAGAACATACTCTAATTGGGGGAATGGGAGGACATGGAGGAAAGATGAATGGAAAGGCCCAGAAGCCTTAAGGATACAAGGATTCTTATGAACCATTTGCAGAAAGCCACAGCCTCAAAAATAAAATACTAACAACACCTTGTGCATTTGTCTTTCTTTAGAAGAGCTCAAACTACTTAATACACCTTATCAAAGGGATTTGGTCAAATTTTCACTGGAGCTGTGACTTGCATTTGCCTGCTTTCCAGATGGGTTAAATAACTTGCCTAATACAACAAAGACAAGTAGGAATAAAATCCAAACTGGACTCTGAGATTATGGTGTTCAGGGTATATCATCTGAAACAGGGTGAGGCAGTTTTAAAGTATGATATATGCTTTCACAGTAAGTTACTTACTTTAGCACTATCCTGAATAGAAGAGCTGTTGTTATAATGCTAAAATTTGAGAAGAGCACAGCCATGGCCTAGAAAGAAACAGAAGGTAGGGTTACAATGGAAACAAAGTAATGACCTCAGAAATCTCTCAATTTGGTGTTCACTTAACAAAAAGGCCTTCTGGTCAAAATATAGAGGTTATTAGGGCAGCTCTTTCACTAGACGATTAAGTTTCATTATTATTGCTGGGTAAATTTATGCAGATATAATCAAATATTAGGCAGACCTTGAAAATCCAGGCTCCACGGCAGGAACTGCTCATGTAAACAATCTGCATGTGCAGATTCAGAGACAGACATAAACTCTAAAGGTTTGGCTTTAGAAATTAAGTAAGATAGCAATTTTCATCAGATTTCATATTCACAATGCATATCTCAAGTTCTCGGAGTGTTTAAGACTTCTCATCAATTTCTATGAGATAGGCAGTTACTATTTTGCCCCCCAAACAGGTGAGGAACAAATTATCTCCTTCTAGGCTAGTTAGAGGCAGCTAGGTAGCAGTGGACAGAGCACTAGGCTTAGAATCAGGAAGACTCATCTTTATGAGTTCAAATCCAATCTCAGACACTTACTAGCTGTGTGACCCTGGGCAAGACACTTATCCCTGTTTGCCCCAGTTTTGTCATCTGTAAAATCAGCTGAAGAACGAAATGGCAAATCACCCCTGTATCTCTGCCAAGAAAACCCCAAGTGGGGTCTGACTGAAACAACTGAACAACAGAGCTAGTTAGGAAGTTAATAAATTATGAAAGGAAATGAGGAACTGAATCAAATTTTCAGACTTTAATTCACTAGGCTCTCAGTGTTTCTTCAAAATTAAGAGCTGACTTACTTTGGATTCCACTTTGAGGAAGTGTGCTACAGTGGAAATAGTACTGGCTCTCTGGAGTTGAAGGGCCTGGGTTCAAATCCTATGTCTATATCTTTGTGATCTTGGGCAGTTCACTGTACCTCAGTTTCCTCATCTGTAAAATGAGGGGCTTAGACTAGATGGCTTCTGAGGTTCCTTCCAGTTTGAAATCTAAGATCTTATGACATGATTTCAGTCATTTAGAAATGAGTTAATTGTCGGTTTTCAAAATCAGCAGTATTTTACATGAATATGAATAACAGACTTTACCACACTTAACATTTTCTCCAAACTCTTAAAAAAAGAAAGCAGTTCTAACTGGCTAGTGTATAACTTAAATGATGTTTATTTTCCTCACCAAACATCTATTACTAATTGTCAAAATGTTGAACAACTGTGAAGCTCTATCAGGATTCTCACAGGTAGGCCTTCAAATACAAACAATGGTGATCTTGGTGTATGGCCAATAAGTTCAGTTCTTCTAGCCTTGCTAGTTTTTACTCATTAAAAAAAAATGGTTATAGAAACTAGCTCAGAAATGTAATCCTACCAATTGGTAAATGGCTGGTGGAGGAGAAGGAAGAAGGGAAGACAGGACCCAAACCCAGACCTCCTTTCTCCAAATCCACTGCTCTTTGCTATACCATGCTTCTATATTGTTGATTTACTGGCACTTCCTGCTTTTCAAAGTACTTTCAAGTTTCCTTACTAGGAGTTCCCTATACCAAAGAAATCACAATTCTTCTACAATCTTGGAGAAAAACTTAAAATCTTGTTATTGCTTTATTAGATATTCATGGGAATCTACACTGGGATGAGAGGTACTTGGTATATTTTGTTGAAGATAGATGTTTGTAGGGTGTGCAGTGATGACGGTAATTCTGGACAGGACTGATGGAAATTTTGTCACATAAAAACAATTTTATCTGATCAAATGAATAGGAAAAGCTATTGACAGAGTTAGTATAGAACAAGCAACATATTTAGTTTTGAATACCTAATCTCATTCTTACTAGTCTTCTGTTATGCACAGAAGAAATGTGTAGTTATTTATAATATTCTTGACTTCAGAAAGCCAGCAAGAAATTGTAGTGAGTTAGCTGAAAGTAGGTAAGATCAAATAGGATAAATATTACTTTCTTATAAGACTTAAAGAAGGAGATAGCAAGCTGGACCTAATTTGATCTAATATTTAATGTTTGGAAACTATCAATTATACTCAACAAGGTATTCAGTATTGATGTCCAAAAGACTCCCTCAGGAAAGTGTGAGTTTCCCAACACTAGAGGACTTCTGCTGTAACATGGGTGACCAGTTGTCAAGAATATTTTAGAGGAGATTTGTATTCATGGTCAGGCTTACCCCTACTTACTATTTCTAATGTAAAGGTAAAAACTAGATCCAGTAGAATTTTTTTATACTAAAACATCTGATTGGGGCAGCTAGGTGGCATAGTGGATAGAGCACCAGCCCTAGAGTCAGGAGGAGCTGAGTTCAAATCTGGCCTCAGACACATAATACTTACTAGCTGTGTGACCCTGGGCAAGTCACGTAACCCCCATTGCCTAGGCCCCCCCCCAAATAAGTTAAAACATCTGATTTTTAAAAAAGGTAATTAGATTTGGAGCCAAATAATAATGCTTATCTTACTCTGCTCTTCCAATATCCATTCTCTTTGTTAAACTCCTAATTTGGCTTGGATTGCTTCACTTCACATGTGCCCCGCCTTCTTTCTCTAACAGAAACATGGCTCTGTCCAGAAGACACTGCATCCCCCAGTGTCTCATGCCTCAAAGGCCAGGAGGAATAGCCAATACTCTTGACTCCCCACAGCCACCTCCCCATCAACTCCTTTATCACCATTCCTCAACAACCTCTCTTCCTTCGAAGTTCAAACCCATCCATCCAGTCTTGACTCCTACTGCAGTTGTCTACTGGCATTCAACTCATTCCCCCCTTTCTCAACAAGTTCAGTACCTGGCTCACAATACTGTCTTCACCTGACCTCCTGTTCTTGTACCTGGGGCTTCAATATATACGTGTTGACATCACTAACTTCTTTACATCTAACATCTACACCTTCAACTCTACCTCAGTGAGAGACAGCATAGTGAAACCCTTGATCAACCATATATATTCTGTCAAAAATATAGAACTTGGAAATTCCACCTATCCTTATATCTCTTATGTTTCATTCTTACCAGGGACTTAATCACTCCATCCTGCCTCTTTCCTAAATCATTACCCTGCTATGGCCCAACTTTTTTCCTTTCAGGCTTGATCCTATGATTGTTCAATTCAATTATATACTCTCCTCTGCCCTGAATTTCTTGTCCTCTTGTCCAGTCTTGCCAAACACCAACTACTCAAAAATCTTCATTGGCTCCTTATTTCATTACTTAATCCCTCTAGGTCTCAGTTTCTTCAACAATAAAATGAGGGGGTTGGATTAGATGGATTTTGAGGTTGCTTCTAGCTCTAAATCTTTGAGAATCGATGATTCCAGATAAATATAACTTTCTTAACCTAGTATTTAAAGGCTTCAATCTGGAATTATGCTACCAGTCCTTACCCTAATCCCATTAGATTGTGAGCTCCTCTACAGTTGAGGACCTTCTTTTGCCTTTCTTTGTATCTCCAGGACTTAGCACAGTGTCTGGCATATAGTAGACACTTAATAAATATTAGGTCAATAATATTATTAATAACATTGACTATTAATCTAAGTTTGAAGACTTCTTTCTCATTATCTCCCTTCTTCTCTCCCCCTGCTCCAACTATTTTAACCTTCCAGCTAAATTGGCCTAGTAGCTATTCCTCAAGTCTGACTTTTGAATTTATATGAGCTAACCCCCATGTTGGTGGTCCTGTCTTCAATTCTGCCTCTAAATGTCTGGTTTCATTCAGGGCTTAATTCAGGTACCACTTCCTATGTGAAGGCTTTCCTGATCCACTCCAATTTTTAGAGCTCTCCTTTTCTCCTGAAATGATTTTCTATTTATTTAGCAATGTACAAGATGCAACTTTTCATGTGTAACTTAAGCTCCTGATGGCATGGATTGTTTTGCTTTTGCCTTTGAATTCTCAGTACCTCCCAAATATTAGACACTATCAATACTTGTTGAGTTAAATTACTGGTGAAAAAAAATTATACAAATATTGACAGTAAAGGAAATGTAGAAAGGCAAATGTCACTTTTTCACAACCATTGCCTTCCCTATTAGAGCTAGAAAATATAGAGGCTGTGAAATATGTTCATGATTATTTGTTTATTGTGTACCTGCAGGGCAGGTAGCATTCACTGTTCCAGATGCAGTTCAAATACAGTGTCCCAGAAGTTTTAGGGAACTTTAAAGCTATTAAAGCTTAAAACCACACTAAGACCTTTGGAACACCCTGCATATAACTTTGGTTAGTAATAAAAGTTAAATGTTAATAGCAATAACTAACATTTATATAGCACTTTAAGATTTTGCAAAGGGTTTTACATGTTATCTCATCTGATTCTTACAACCCTGAGTGCTATTATTATCCACATTTTACAGATGAGGAAACTGAGGCTGAGACAGTCACTTAATGATTTGTGTAAGGTCACAGAGCTATTAACCATGAGTGAGAATTTGAATTCAGGTCTTCCTGGCTCTCAGTCCCCTAATGTATCCACTGTGCCACCTAGCTACTGCTAAGAAGTCTCCTGTCCTTTGTAAAGATAAGCCTGAAAATCACAGATATAATGTGAACACATAGATTCATGTACCTATAATAACATACATATAAGGAAGCGAAGGCACTATTGGTACAATGAAGTGGTCAAGGAGATGAAGGGTGTGCCAACTTACTAACAGAACCCTTCCTGGAGAGTTGAATTTTTAAGGTAATATTAAAGTCTGGAAGAGTATAGAACAGTCTAGGGAAAGGGCAATCTGATTAAAGAAACTGTTTGACTTTTCTTTACATCAGGTTAAAATATTCCCCAATATAAATAGCCTGTTTGAGTAACTAAAACAACCAGAATGGCAAGTATTGAGCATTTAGATCATCTGGATCTCATACCACTGAGTGCCAAGGAGAGGAAAGCTTTGAATATAACATTCCAAAAGGCAAAAATGTAAAGGTGTAAGATCAAGAATAACTTATCTGGCAAAACTAAGAATAATCCTATAAGGGTCCTTTAATGAAATAGAGAACTTCTAAGTATTCCTGATGAAGAGACCAAAGCTGAGTAGATACTTTGAAATGCAAACACAGTAATCAAGAGAAGCATAGAAAGGTAAACACATAGAACAATTGGAAGGGATTATTTGACCTATGTACACAGCCAGCCCATGAGAAGTCAGGAGCTCTTCCCTTAGGCTTCTGACCTGCACATTATTATGGTCAAACCAGAGGCCTGTAAGCTATACCTAAGTGAATCAGTGACTATAGCTGTGTATAGCCTTTCTACTTACAGCTCAGTAAACTTCCTTTTGTTAATTATTTTTAAAAGGGGAAAAAAAAAAGAAATGAATAAAATGATTGCTGTGAGGGCTCTGATGAAGTTAGACACTCTGGATTTTCAGTGGGTCCAATCTGTATGATTTTGTGACTTCCTCCAGCAGTATTTTGTACCTCAGGAGTAGGACCAAAGATGGCAAAATAGTGCAAAGCAAACAGTACTGCTGCCTTTGGAGCCACGGGGCCTTGGTGCAAGTTCCAGCCCTGCCGCACTCTGATGACCTCTGCCTTCTCTTCTATAAGATAAGAGAGCTGGAGAAGGCAGGCATGAGGGTCTCTTTCTATTATAAATCCAAAATCCGATGATTCCAAAGTAGATGCTCCTAAGATGAGGAACAGCAGGGCTTAGAAAGTTTAAGGACAAAGGAGAAAGGGGGTAAGGACTACACACAGTGCTGCTTCTTTTTTTTTTTTAAACAGCTTAAATCTAGGGATCAGACTGTGAAAGGAGAGAAGTAAAGCCAGAATAGGCGTGATGGACTAAAAAAACAAGGAGGCTGAGAGTACACAGGAAAGGAAAGATTAAGTGGAGGAAGACTGTGGGAAAGGGTGAGAAAAATACCAGGAAATTATGATTTGAGAGGGATTTTTTTGAGTTCTGGATCAGCCTGGGATGATTCTAGGATTTAGGGGGACTGTTCTTGTCAGCTGCTAAGCTATACTGGAGAGAGAAACCAGAATTGAGGAGGTTGATAAACTTTATGAAGCCAGGGGTGTTTGTAGGATCATCCACCCAAAGACTTAAGTCCCCAAGAATAAGGGCAAGGGTTGGGATGGAGATGACTATAAATCAGGTAGTAAGGATTTATTGAGAAGTAGACGAAGGCAATAAGGATTTGAACACTGCATAGCCCTAAATAATTGAAGAAATATAAATTGCTTATGGTAAAATTAGTCAACATAAGAAAAATGACACTACCTAAATTAATTTACTTATTCAACGCCGTATCAAGCTACCAAAGAATTACTTTACAGAAACAGAAAAAATAGTAATGAAATTTAAATAGAGGCAAAAAAGGTCCAGATCTCAAGGGAAATGACGAAGAAGTTAGAATGAAGGAGGCCTAGAGGCCTAGTAGTACCAGATCTCAAACCATACTACAAAGTAGTAATTCTCAAAACAATTTTGTACTAGTTAAAAAACAGACTGATCAGTGGAACGGATTAGGTACACAACATATAGAAGCAAATGAATCTAGTAGTCATGTGTTCAATAAACAAAGAGACCCCAGCTACTGGGGTAAGGGGTTACTATTCGACAAAAACTGCCGGGAAAACTGGACAGTAGTATATTGAATAAATTAGATTTAGACCAACACCTCATACTTTATACCAAGGTAAGTTCCAAACGTCTACATGATCTAGATATAAACAAATTAAAGAAATATGAAAGAAAAACCCTATCAGATCTATGAGGAAAAGAAACATTCATGACAAAACAAAGGATAGAGAGAATCACAGAAAATAAGTTTTGATCACATAAAATTTAAAAGTTTTTGCACAAACAAACATAATAAATCTAAGAGATGATAAATTCAGAGCACAGAATCAGACACATTTTTCAAACAGTCAATAGGGGTGTTTGTTTTGCCTAACTATGTATATCTGTTACAAGGGACTTATTTTTTTTTCCAACGAGATGGGGGTGGGGTGAGGAGAGAATAAATTTCTGTTAATTAGAAAAAAATAATTTTTAAAATGTTCCATATATGAAGTGAATCTCAAAGGAAGAGAGACTGATGAGTGGTGGTGATAAAAGCATGAAAGGGAAGTATGTCAGAAGTATTTGTATGATGACTAGTCCAGCTGGCTCTTGTATGCACCCTCAATAGAAAGGGTGGCAAGGGATAAGATATCTTCAAAAGAGATTTCTTTGACTGCCAGAGGATGCAAGTAGGGTGAGGAAGAAACTGAGGATGAAGGGCATTGTATTGACAATGGTGTCAATTCCTGAGGACTGAGAGCAGGAGAAAGACAGAAGAGGTTTGGGACCAGGAATCATTTGGGTTGAGCTGAATAGGGGTAAGAGTACAAGATGAGGCAGGAAGGAAAAAGTAATTTTGCCTCAGTAGACAGTTATTTCTGAATCACAAGGAATGCATAAAAGAAATAAGAAATTTGCTAGGTATGGAACAGGATGTGCACCAGATGTGAAGAAGTCTGTCAGTTAAATCAATCCAAAGTTCTACCTAGAATGGTGCTTCTACTACTGATGTCTGCAGGGGAGTGTCCCCTTTGTAACCTCCTTTATTAGCCTCACCTCCACTCTGCCCCAGATGACTGGTCACTGGTAGAACACATTTTAAGGGCCCAGGCTCTTATAGAAAACAGGTGCTTAATAAACATTGGCTGAATCCAATCAATGAATCAACAAACATTTTATTAAGTGGTGACTATGTATGTGGCAGACATTTTTTAAGCACTGGAAATACAAAGAAAAAGCAGAAACAGTCCCTTCCCTCAAAGAGTTTACATCCCAATAGGGAAGTAAACAATTACAAATAGGTACACGCAAAATAGATACAGAGTAGATGGAAGGTAACCTTAAAGGAGAAGGTGCTAGCATCTGGGGAGACCAGTAAAGGCCCATGGTGGAAGGAAGCATTTGAGTCAAGGAAGCTGAGCTGAAGGAAGCCAGGAATCATAAGAGACAAAGATGAGGAGGGAGAACTTTGTGGTGGTGGAACTCAGCCACTGCAAAGGCAAAGGGACAGGAGATGGGATTTTGTGTGTGAGGAATAGAAACTAGGCCAACAAGGCTGACCCAAAGAGTTTGTGGAGAAGAGTAATGCTAGTAATAAGACCAGGAAGATAGGATGGGACCAGGTTATAAGGGCTGAGGGAACTAAGAAATCACTGGAGTTTAGTGGGTAAGTGAGGGTGGGGAAGACTTAGGCTTTAAGTCTTAAGTCTTAGGCTTAAGTCTTTTAAGTCAGACTTAGGCTTTAAGAAAATCATTTTGATGCTTGTGTGGAAGATGGATAAGATTAAAGGAAGGGAGATTAATTAGAAGGCACTCACAGATTACCAGGACTGGTAGTCTCCCACCAAAGAGCTTCCCTTGTCTAACACAGGAACTTTGCCAATCCAGGGCAGTCTCTTACAACTTGCCAGGATTATAGGCTGCCCTACTAAACCTACTACAAAAGTCCTAGTCTGGAATTTAAAAAACAGCTCATGCTCACCCAACAAGACCAACAACTGGAATAAATGGCACCAATGCCAATTTCAATATAAGACAGACAAAGCCAACAAATGTGCTAATACAAGAACAGCTCAGGGACTTTTTCCTGTGGTGCTTCAATGCTGTTTTTTTTTCTTTTTGTCAAGTTTACTTACAGGCTGAAGATAAGACAGGACATAGAAGACAATCAGGTTATCCAGAAAGTAAAGGAAGGCAGGAATGGACCACTTCATATAATGGCAGAGTTCTCTCCAAGAGGCACATCCAAATTCTTTACACTGATAGTCTTCTACAGGAAAAGATAAAATGGATATGGAACTGGTATTGGTGAAAATGATCAAACTTTTAGATGACAAGACAAAACTAGATTCCATTTCTAAAAATACTTCCTTAAAAAAGGATTTATGGATTTGTCACATGAATGTTAAATAACCTTAGAAAATAAAGGATAATAATGAACATAGCCAAGAATATAAATGTTTTATATATTGTTGATGTACCTCTCCTCTGCCTTTGGGAAACACAGGGAGAGTGATGACCATGATTTCTATTTACTTGAGATCCTGGAAGTAACAACTTCGGAGATCCAGGAATATGTACATGATTTTGCTTTACATCTATTGGCGTAAGACTAAGAAGGAAGAATGAGGCAATAAGCTAGAAGAAATAGGCAGATATTTAGAGTAGATACTTATTTTCTCATTGTGGGCTTAAAAAGATGGACTAGATTTCAAATTGGAACTCACCTCTGTGGCACTAAAGAAAACTAACCTTAACCTTCAACTGAATAATCTGAATATACCCTGGTTTCCAAAAAACTCTAGTGGAAGTCACCCCATAGAGAGAGGGAAAAGGGTAGGAAGACCAATGGTACAAAGCATAAAAACGCCCAAGTTTCATGCATCTTTCAACATTTCCTATCCAGAATTTTAGATTAAGAAGTTTAGTCTAATATGAAATAAAATTCTTAAATGTAGTAAACTGCTAGAGGTTCTCTTCCTAGGCTAGCTCTTAGAAATCGCTTGTTTATATTAAGCCTTACAGTTGAAGCTTACTAGATGCAAGAGAACAGATTCGATACATGATTTTCTAATGATTCATGAATTCATCAGAATGAGCTACTCCCTCCCCCAACAAAGACTTCTTAGTAGATAAAGTCCTAGGGAGTTTTTGAGGGACAGAGAGGTCAAATAATCAGTCTGGGGTCACAGAGGTAATAAGTGTCAGAACTATAATTTGAATCTTGACTCCAAGACTGGCACTCTATTCACTAATGCTTTTTCAGAACCAATACTAAACAGAAAGTATATAATATTTTTTAATATGGTCTGCACCCACAACATAAATAGCTCAGGCAACATGATTAAGTAACAGGATTCAATCAATAAGCATTTATTAAGTGCCTACTTAATCATTTGTTTAATTTTTTTATTATTAAATAAACTATATGGTATTATTTCAACAGCAAATTTAATACCAAGAAACAAAGAAACTAATGCCTTGTGGTTTGGCTATTTTTAACCAACATCAGGTTAAGAAATAGCAAGATGAAAAAGGGGTAACTTATATATTACAGAAATATACTTTTACAGAGATCTCATTAGGAAGGATAATGATTTTGTTACATTAGAAAGATTATGAAAGAGACAAAAATATTATTATTTCAGATTTTACAATCAGTATGCCATTTTTTACTGTTATGGCTAAGTTTTCATTCTATCCAAAAAATTTCAAAATATAAATTATTACATGAATTAACAGAACATTTACAAGTTCAAAATACATGTTTCATGACTAAAAAAAGTTTAACTGAGAATTTGTAACAGACTTTTTTTCTAATAGGTAATGTAACTCAGAATCTACACACTTGATTGTAGATCAAGAGAAGCCTGGCATACAAAACCAAAATGAAATGGTCCTTAAAAGGAACTCACCTAAGGGGAGACAAAATACAAAATTTATCTACAAATTAACTCAGGATTATATAAAAATAACTCAATATTCTGAGTTACAAGCTAAGTGCATCTTTTTAAGAGTTTGTAGCTAAGCCAACGGCCACCAGTTGAGCAATAGCTCTACAAACGATGGTACTCAAATGTAATGGAAGACTCCTGGATTTCAAGAAACAAAGAATATGAAGAACTCTGAGAAGCATGGGAAGACTTATATGAACTGATGCAGAGAATCAAGAAAACAATATAAATAATGTCTATAATAACAGCTAATATGTACTCAATGCTGTAAGGTTAGTAAAACACTTTATAATGTTATCTCACTTGATCCTTATAACTACCCTCCAAGGTAGGTGCTATTATTCTCTCCACCTAACAGATGAGGAGATGGGGACCCACAAAGGTTAAGTGACTTGCCATGAATACACAGCCAGTCACTCTCTCTATGGTCACATTTGAAGCCAGGTCTTCCTGACTCCCCAGGCAGCGCTCTCATCATTATACCTCCAGACTGTAACAGTGTAAATGGAAAGAACAACAACAAAAGAAATTGAATGTGATGTAACCTTGGCCCTGGGAGAAAATGCACCTTGCTGCTTCTTGACAGAGGTCACCCAGACAATCAACATCAGCTGATAAACTGCTGAGTCTTGCTGATCTTCTTTCTCCCTCCCCTCCTTTCTGAAAAATTCTCTGTTACAAGGGATGACTTGATGATGAAGAGGAACATATTCAGAAATGAAGGTGATGTAAAAACAAAATATATAAATATGGGTACACTTATGAAGCTGCAAACTGTACCACAACAAAAATCCATACAATATTAAAAGAAAAAGGCTCTATCACCTTAAGACAACTAAAAAAAAAAAAAGAATACTTCCTTACCAAAAAGGAAGAAGAGTTTTTATAGACATTCTTAGAGAACATGACAAGCAGATCAATAATCTAGAGAAATAATTTTGGAATAAGCAGACATTGCTTTACTGAGCAACAGTAAAAGCTGAATAACAAGTACATGCCACTGGATTTGTGTAGTGTAATCTAAAAATGATTTATCTCTGAGAATCTATGAAATGGCTAAAACTCAAGAATGAAGTCAAAAGGCCCTCTTTAGGTAATATCTGTATGAACTGGGATGACAATATGCTGACAAAGAAATATCAAATAAATGGATGAGTCATACAGATTTGTTTATGATGGCAATTCAGTGCCAGGTATTTGCCACCAGAGATTATAGAAGGGTTGTCTGTAAGGGGTCCAGACTTAGTGATTAATGTTGATTATGTAAGGAAATAGAAATTGTGTAGCACATCACTACAAGCTTAAAAAACGTAGCACCTATCAAATAGCTAGAATACATGACTAGCTGCTAAAATTATACATGGTAATCTTTCACTGACTGACAGATTACAAATACCCAAAGTCTAATATAGATTTCAAAATATCCTGAAGAGTTCAACCAATAATCTTTATTGGAAAATAAACCATTATCACAGATTGGACTGTTGCCCACATTTACCCAGAAATAACACTGATCCAAAGGAACTTAAGAATAACATTTTAGATAGAGTTACCAAATGAAATATTATACTCTGCAAACTAAATGAATGCAAAATTTTCAAAATATATAGACCTAGTAGAGAAGATAAAAATTATATTGGGGGGTGGGTGGGCAGCTAGGTGGTGCAGTAGATAGAGCACCGGCCCTGGAGTTGGGAGGACTTGAGTTCAAATTCGGCCATAATACTTCTTAGCTCTGTGACTCTGGGTAAGTCACTTAACCCCAATTGCCTCGCAAAATAACAAAACAAAAAAATTATGTGGGAAGAGGATGAGGTCCATATCATTCCTGTTGTCCCATCTGCTACCAAAGTTGTACCAAGGATGCTTTCAGTAAGCATAAAGAGAGTAAGCTTACATTCTAAAAATACTTTTATTAAACCCCCAAAAGCAGTTACTTTATACACTTCTGATATGGTAGACAGAACATAAAATCTAAAAGAATAATAAAATATTGACTTGTCCCAGATCTAACAGAAAAAGATGAGAAAAACAAGTTATTAAAAATAATTGCTTATATTTATATAGCTACTGGGCCAGCTCTTAGTTGAGTCAGGAGGACCTGAGTTCAAATCTGGCCTCAGTTACTTCCTAGCTGCGTGACTCTGGGCAAGTCGCTTAATCCTATTTGCCTCAGTTTCCTCATCTGTAAAATGAGCTGGAAAAGGAAATGGCAAACCATTCCAATACTTCTGCCAAGAAAACCCCAAATGGTGCCACATAAGAATCTTGGATCCCTAGTTCCCTCAAAGCTTGTTTCAAGTTCCATCTTCTACATGAGGCCTTCCCCAATACCCTCAATATTTAGCATTATCCTCCCCACCCTGAAAAAAATTATTTTTCAGTTTCTTCATAGATATTTTATATTTATAGCATTTATGTACATGTTTCCTCCTAGCAAAAAGCAAGCTTCTTGAGGGAAGGCACTCATTTTTCCATTTTTGTCTTTGTCCACGCAGTGGGTGTTTCATAGCTTGGTGAATTGAACTAAATGCTTATTTAGCAGTCTGTGACCAACTTCCCCTGGGCCTCAGTTTCCCCAATTGTAGAATGAGTTTGGGTAAGATGATTTATAAGGTCCCTTCGAGCTCTAGAATGCTGATGTTGTTTTTCAGTCATTTCAGTTGCGTCTGACTCTTTGAGACCCTATTTGGGGCTTTCTTGGCAGAGCAACTGGAGTAGTTTGTCATTTCATTCTTCAGCTCATTTTATAGATTAGGAAACTGAGGTAAACAGGGTTGAGTGACTTGCCCAGGATCACACAGCTAGTAAGCGTCTGAGGCTGGATTTGAACTCATGAAGACAAATCTTCCTGACTTCAGGTCCGGCACTCTATCCACTGTGCTACCTGTCATTCTAACTTGATGAAGAGACTCTGAGGGATGGGCCTCCCTTACCTTTCTTCAAAGCCCAGATTGCCAGAGTCACACAAAAAATCAGCTTCACAAGTTCTGAACACATGTTGACAGTTGTAGGAAGATAATCATATTTATTCTCTGAAAAGGAATAGAGAGGAATTTGTTACTCTATTTGGCATTAATATAGTCGTTAATTTGATAAATGTTTTATGAAGCATTTATTATAAATGTGCTTCTAGTGAAACGTTGTTTTATAGACAATTTGTAGAACTGGAATATATCTGGGTATTCACATAGCATTTTCCCATGAAAACTTTGTGAATTAGAGAGTATAAATATCACCATTTATAGTGGAAGAAACTGAGGCTCAGTCATCTACAAGCATTTATTAAAATTCTATTATGTGCCAGGCGCAGTGCTAAGCACTGGGTAGACAATAAAAGTAAAAACATCTTTGCTCTTAAGGGGCTCACATTCTAAGGAAAGGGAAACAATATGAAAAAAGATATTCATACAAGATAAATACAGCATAAGTGAAAGATGACCTGAGAGGGGTGACACTATTGGGGGTAGAGAGTGCAGAGAAGAGGAACAGGAAACATCTCCACCAAAAGTGGGATTTAAGCTTAATCTTGGTGGAAGCCAGGAGGCAGATGTGAGAAGGATGAATATTTCAGTCATGGGTGGACAGCCAGTGAAAAAACACAGTCAGGAGATGGGTGTCCTGTCCAAAGAACAGTATGGCTAGATTGTAGTGTTTGTAGAAAGGAGCAAATGTAAGATGATTGGAAAGGTAAGGGTCGGGCTATAAAAGGCCAAAGAGCCTTTTATATTTGATATCAGAAGTAATAAGGAACCAATGCAGTATGTTGAGAAAAGGGATACATTGTCAGACCCATGTTTTAGGAAATTATCTTTGATAATGGAGGTAGTTTTGATAAAGGATGGATTAGAGTGAGGAAAGGTGTGAGACAAGAAGACCACCCAGAAGCTACTGTAATAGTCTAGGTGTGAGGGGATAAGGGCTCATACCAGGGTGATGGGTATGTGAATGAAGAGAAGGGAATCTATACAATAGATGTTATGAAGGTTAAAATGACAAGATTTGGCAACTGATAGATATATGAGGTGGGTGGGAGCAAGAAGCCAAGGATGGCACCAAGGTTGTGAGTCTGTGTTTCTGGGAGATGGTGGTACCCTCAGCAGCAATAGGGAAGGATTCCCAGGTCACTCCCTCCCTAGACTGCACCTCAGGATGCCTGCAATGTGAGGCCTGCTCTCTCCTGTTTTCTGTGTCCCTGGCCAGGACTGATATTTTTCAGAGTAGCCCCAGACATACTAACTTTACCTGCTCAGCAGCCTTGGAACCCCCCCCCCCCTCCATGCTTTCCAGCTCCCTTTTATGGACTGTCTTCCTCCATTGGAGCTCCTTGACAGCAGAGACTGTCTTATTTTCTTGCATTTGTATCCCCAGAATCTAGCACAGTACCTGGCATATGGTAAAAGCTTAATAGATGCTTTATCTTAAAAAAAAAAAAAAAAAAGTAACAGGGAAGTTTGGAAGAGGGGAATGTTTGAAGGGAAAGATAATTAGTTCTGCTTTGGACATGTTGAGTTTAAGGGCATCCAATCCAGTATGCTCAAGAGGCAGACGATGATTGGAGCTTAGGAGAGAGGTCAAGGCTGGGTAAATAAATATGGAAAACATCAGTATAGAAATGACAAGTGAACTCATGAAACTGAAGACTAACAAATGACACAGTATGAAGAAAAGAAGAAGGGCTAGGACACAGCCTTGTCATTCTAAAGTGCAGATCTGATAATGCTTCCTCCCTCCTCCTACCTCACCCAAGTCAATAAACTCTAGTGACTCCCTATTATCTCTAGGATCAGATATAAAATTCTATTTGGCATTAAAACTCTACCACTCAGCCATCCCTCCTCCCCATTGCTCCAGTCTTCTTACACCTTCTCCTTCTCCTTCCCCTCCTATGTACTCTGAGATTCAGCAACATTGGACCTTTCCTGTTCCTCATACAATACAATTCATCTCCTGACTAAGCATTTTCACTGGTGATCCTCGGCCCTTTTCATCTCTGCCTCCTGGCTCCATTGGCTTCCTTCAAGACCTAGCTAAAATCCCACCTATCAGAAGTCTTTCTTAATCCCTCTTAATTCTAGCGCCTTCCCTCAGTTGTTTATGTACTGTTTACACTATATATAGATTGTTTTACATAGGTGTTTGCATGTTGTCTCTTCTATTAGATTATGAGCTCTTTGGGCGTAAAGACTGACCTTTGCCTTTCTTTTTATCTTCAGTGCTTAGCAGTGCTGGCACATAATGGGCACTTAACAAATGCTTATTCACTAACATCCATGGTCACAGGCATGACCTTGATGAAGATCCCAAAAAAGAGACTAAGATGGAATAATCAGAAAGGTAGAGTAAGAACTAGGAGATTTCACAAAAGCCTAAGGGAGGAGAGGGTTTCTGGGAGGAGAGGGTGATTGACAGTGTTAAAGGCTGCAGAGAGGTCAAGAAGGATGATGGCTGAGAAATGGTCACCAGATTTGACATTTAAGAGTTTGCTGAGGGACAGCTAGGTGGCGCAGTGGATAGAGCACTGGCCCTGGATTCAGGAGGACCTGAGTTCAAATGTGGCCTCAGACACATAACATTTACTAGCTGTGTGACCCTGGGCAAGTTACTTAACCCCACTGCCTAGCTAAAAAAAAATAATAAAAAAAAAGTTCATTGATAACTTTGGAGAAAGCAGTTTCAGATGAATGATAAGGCTGGAAGACAGAATGTAGGGGATTTAGAAACGAATGAGAGAAGAAGTAGTGGAGGTATTTAATGTGGACGGCTTTCTCAAGGAGGTTAGCTATGGAGGAGAGAAGAGAAATAAAATGACAGCTAGCAGAAATGGTGAGATCAAATGACTTGCCTATGGAAGAGTGTGTTAGTGCCAATTCTAACCAGCAAGTCAACTGTTTAGTTTTCACCATGAGCATTTATACCTCAGAAATCTGCAATTGTTACAAATCAGGGCTTGACTTATTGCTCTGTTAATTGTCTAGATACTTAAGAAAGTGTTACTAATACCAAAATAAACTTAAAAGTTTATTTAATAAATAAACTTAAAAGTTTACATTTTTCCTCCAGAGAGCCTATTGCCACCACACCCTTATATTGTTCAATAAACACTACTTGAGCTCAGCAGGAATGCAGTTGAAAGCTCAGCGAATAAAGTCACTACCACATCGAAAGTGCATAGACTGTAGGCTACTAATAATAATTATAATAGTTCACATTTATATAGCACTTTAAGACCTGCACAGTGCTTTAAATCCACCATCTTATTTGAATCTCACAAAACCCTTGCGTTCATGCTATAGAGAAAGTTAAAAACCAGAGCTGGGAAAAAATCCAGGGCCTCCTGATTCCCGGTCAGTGCTTTTTCCTACTTGGACTTAGTGTCAAAAAGGCTAAGTTTCAGCCCTATGTCCATTACTTACTCAGGGAAGCAGAATGGTATAGTGGGGAAAATGCTGGAACTAATGTCCTTAACTAGAAATGACTGGATTCTAATTCTACCTTTGACATTTATTAACTAGGTAATGACAGAGAAGTAAATCACTTCTTTGAGACTCAGTTTTCCCATCTGTAAATTGAGGATAATAATACCTATTGCACTTACCTCCTACTATTATTGAAGAATTTTTCAATATTAATGGATTAAAGTTATACATACATATATGTGACATTATAATTATTATGCCATAATATTGTTATATTCTAAGCAAACATCCAGAGAAGTAAGGATATTATAAAACTTCCACCAGTAGGGGACTACATAGATGCACATTCTAAAGAATTTTGGAATCATTAAATCATTACTTTCACATGCCTATTTCCTCTTTCTATACTCCTTAACTATCATTCACCTAAATTTATTCCTCCTTTTTTTGTGCTCTATTTTGGTTTTTTTTGTCAGTCTTTTGAAAATTGATCTCAATCATGTTCTAATCAATTTAAAATGTATTCTTCATGCATCATAAATGTCTTATTAGCAGAGATTATTCCACATTACATGTATATACATATACACATATGTGTGTATGTATGTGGGTATTTATATATATACTTAGATATACATACATATATATGTACACACATATACACACATACATATACATACACACACATACACACACACACACACACACACACACATTCATTCATTCCAAAAGCCAGCATAGTGGTTTGCACAAAAATCTAATAAGTCACAGAAGGCTACATTTGGAAAAGACTTTATGTCTATCCAATAATTCTCCTAATGTTTTTTCCCCACTTAATAGTATTTTATTTTTTCCAATTACATGCAAAGATAGTTTTCAATATTCACTTTTATAAGATTTTGAATTTCAAATTTTTTTTCTCCTTCCCTCCACTCCCCCTACCAAGAGAGCATACAATCTGATATAGTTATATATGTACAATCATATTAAACATATTTCTACATTAGTCATGTTGTGAAAGAAGAAATCAGAACAAAAGGGAAAGACCATGAGAAAGAAAAAAGAAAATAGTATGCTTTGATCTGCATTTAGACCCCATAGTTCTTTCTCTGGATGTGGATAACATTTTCCATCATGAGTCTTTTGTAATTGTCTTAGATCATTGTATTGCCAAGAAGAGCTAAATCTATCAAAGTTGGTCATCAGGAGAGGTGGAGCCAAGATGACAGAGTAAAGGCAGGGGCTCACCTGAGCTTTCCCTCAAAACCCTCCAAATACTTTAAAAAACTGACTCTAAATAAATTCTAGAGCAGTAGAACCTATAAAAAGATGGAGTGAAACAAATTACCAGCCCAAGACAACTTGAAAGGTCAGCAGGAAAAGTCTATTGCACAAGGGTGAGAGAGGACTACAGGTCAGGTCCCAGGAAACCCAGGGCAGGCCTTGGGGTGACCAAATCACTGGCAGTAGTGACTGTTTCAAGACCTCTCAGCCCACAAATGCAAAAAAACAACTTAGAAAGTCAGCAGGAAAGGTCTGTCACGCATGGGTGAGAGTGGAGCACACTCTAGCACGTACCACGTCAGCACAGCCCTGACCATAGCAAACCAGGAGTAGGTCTTGTGAGTAACTGAATCAGCAGTGGCAGTATCTGCTCACGGAGCTCCTAGCCCACAGCCAGGACAACTGGTCAGAAGAAGATTAAGGGGGTCTTTTGCTAGCACTGGAGCAGTACTCTGTTGCTTTGCCCATACTTGGACCTGGCTCACAGTCCTGAGTGGCAGTCCTAGGGTGAAGGGGAACACTACCATAACAGAACTTGTGGCCACAGTGGAGGGGGGGACCCACAGTTCAAGAGCAGAAAAGAGTGCTTACGGTTGCTCACAGACCAGAACACACACCAGTAGAGTAGTAAAGACCTCTTCTTAGATCATACCACCTTGGAAGAACTGAAAACTTACAGGTCCTTAGAAGTATATCTGAAAAAAGCTGTACAAAACCCCAGAAGATTGAAACAGTGTACCTTCCACCCTGGAAGCAGAGCCCTACTTTAATAAACAATTAAAAGTCAAGTAATAGGCTAGGGAAATGAGCAAAAAATGGAAAAAAAAAACCCTTGACTATAGAAAGTTACTAAGGTGATAAGGAATATCAAAACACACACTCAGAAGAAGACAACAAAGTCAAAGCCCCTACATCCAAAGCCTCCAAGAAAAACGTGAATTGATCTCAGGTCATGGAAGAGCTCAAAAAGTATTTTGAAAATCAAGTAAGAGATAGAGGAAAAATTGGGAAGAGAAATGAGGGTGATACAAGAAAATCATGAAAAACAAGTAAACAGCTTGATAAAGAAGACGCACACACATACACACACACTGAAGAAAATAACACATTAAAAAATAGACTAGGCCAAATGGTAAAAGAGGTCCAAAAAGCCAATGAGGAGAAGAATGCTTTAAAAAGCAGAATTGGCCAAATGGAAAAGGAGATCCAAAGGCTCATTGAAGAAAATAATTCCATAAAAATTAAAATGGAGAAAGTAGAAGCTAATGACTTTATGAGAAATCAAGAAACAATAAAACAAAACCACAAAAAAAAAGAAAGAAAAAATGGAAGACAATGTGAAATATCTCACTGAAAAACAACTGACCTGGAAAATAGATGGGGAGCAGGGGAGCAGCTAGGTGGCGCAGTGGATTGAGCACCAGCCCTGAAGTCAGGAGTACCTGAGTTCAAATCCGGCCTCAGACCAAACACTTGACACTTACTAGCTGTGTGACTCTGGGCAAGTCACTTAACCCCAATTGCCAAAAAAAAAAAAATAGAACCAGGAGAAATAATTTTAAAACTATTGTACTACCTGAAAGCCATGATCAAAACAAGAGCCTAGACGACATCTTTCAAGAAATTATCAAGGAAAATTGTCCTGATATTCTTTTAAGAATTCACCGATCACCCCCTGAAAAAGAGCCCAAAATGAAAACTGCTGGGAATATTATAGCCAAATTCCAGAGTTCCCAAGTCAAGGAGGAAATATTACATGCAGCCAGAAAGAAACAATTCAAGCATGATGAGGCCACAGTCAGGATAACACAAGATTTAGCAGCTTCTACATTAGTAGGGCTTGGAACATGATATTCCAGAGGTCAAAGGAGCTTGGATTACAACCAAGAATCACCTATCCAGCAAAATTGAATATAATCCTTCAGGGGGAAAAAATAGACATTCAGTGAGATAGGGGACTTTCAAGCATTCTTGATGAAAAGACCAGAGCTAAATAGAAAATTTAACTTTCAAATACATGACTCAAGAGAAACATAAAAAGGCAAACAGGAAATTATAAGGGACTTAATTAGGTTAAACTGTTTGTATTCCTTCATGGGAAGATAATATTTGTAAGTTATGAGACCTTTCACATTTTTAGGGTAGACAGAAGGAATATATTTACAAAGAGGGCACAGGTGTGAGTTGAATATGAAGGGATAATATCTAAAAATTAAATTAAGGGGTGAGAGAGAGGGAATATATTTGGAGAAAGAGGGAGGTAGAAGGGGGAAATTATCTCACATAAAAGAGGCAAGAAAAAGCTTCTACAGTGGAGGGAAAGAGGGGGGAGGTGAGAGAGAGTGAGTGACCCTTAGTCCCATCAAAATTGGCTCAAAGAGGGAATAACATACACACTCAATTGTGAATAGAAATCTAGCTTACCTACAGGAAAATAGGAGAGGAAGGGGATAAGAGAAGCCAGGGGGTTGAGGTGTAATAGAAGGGAGAGCAGATTGAATGAGGGGATAGTCAGAAGCAAGCACTTTTGAGGAGGGACAGGGTGAAAGGTGAGGGAGAATAGAATAAATGGGGGGAGGGAGGGAATAGGATAGAAGAACTACAGTTAGTAAAAGTAACTGTGACAAAAATTTTGCAGCAAGTTTCTCTGATAAAGGCCTCATTTCTCAAACATATAAAGAACCGAGTCAAATTTATAAAAATAAAAGCTTTTCCCCAACCAACGAATAATCAAAAGATAAGATCAGTTTTCAGGTAATATAACAATAACCATATGAAAAAATACTATAACTCACTACTGATTGGAGAAATGCAAATTAAAACAATTCCAAGATACTACCTCAGACCTATTACACTGGCTAATAGGACAGAAAGGGTAAATGACAAATGTTGGAGGGGATGTGGGAAAAATGAGACATTAATGCACGCTTGGTGGAGGTGTGAACTGATTCAACCATTCTGTAGAGCCAAAGGGCTATAAAACCATGTATACCCTTTGACTTAACAATACCATCACTATGTGAGTATCCTAAAAGAGATTTTTTCTTTAAAAAAAGGAAAAGGACCTAAATATACAAAAATATTTATAACAGCTTATTTTGGGGGGCAAAGAATTAGAAACTGAGGGGATACCCATCAATTGAGGAATGGACAAGTTGTGGTATGTGATTATGATGGAATATGATTGTACTATAAGAAATGATGAGCAGGATACTCTCAGAAAAACCTGGAAAGACTTGTATGGGCTGATGCAAAGTGAAATGAATTGTGTACAAAATAACAGCAATATTGTAAGATGATCAGCTGTGAATGACTTAGCTATTCTCAGCAATACAATGATCCAAGACAACTCTGAAGGACTTATGATGAAAAATGCTATCCATCCCCACAGAAAGAACTGATAGTGTCTGAATACACATTGAAGCATACTTTTAAAAATTTTTTTAAAATTTTTCTTGAGTTTTTTTTCCCCATGTTTTCTTTTACAACATGACTATTATGGGTATGTTTTATATGACTATACATGTATTACCTATATTGAACTGCCTGCCTTCTCAATGTGGGTGGGGTTGGGGAGGGAGCAAGGGAGAGAATTTGGAACTCAAAGTTTTATAAACTAATGTTAAAAATTGTTTTTACATGTAACAGGGGAAAAATAAATAAATGAATCAATTTAGAATTTTAAAAAAATTACTTTAAGGAAAAGAACCAATATGTACAAAAATATTTATAGCAGCTCTTTTGGTGGTAGCAAAGAATTGGAAATTGAGGGGATGCCCATCAACTGGAGAATGGCTGAACAAGTTGTTACATATAATTGTGATGGAATATTATTGTGCTATAAGAAATGATGAGCAGGATGCTCTCAGAAAGACCTGGAAAGACTTATATGAACTGATGCAAAGTGAAATGAGCAGAACTAGGAGCACACTGTACACAATAACAGCAATATTATAAGATGTCCAACTGTGAATGACTCAGCTATTCTCACCAATACAATGAGCCGAGATAATTCTGAGGACTTATGATGAAAAATGCTATCCACCTTCAGAGAAAGAATTGTTGGGGCCTGAATACATATTACTTTGTCTTTGCTTTCTTTATTTTTCTTGTTTTATTTTTTTATTTGTGTTTTCTTTTACAGCATGACTTATATGGAAATGTGTTTTGTAAGATTACACACGTAAAACCTACTTGATTTTCTCATTTGACTCAGCATCAGTCCATTCAAGTCTTTCCAGGTTTTTCTGAAGTCTGTCTGCTCATCATTTCTTATTGCACAATAGTATTCCATTACATTCATATACCACAACTTGTTCAACTATTCCCCAATTGATGAGCATCCCCTCAATTTCCAATTCTTTGTCACTACCAAAAGAGCCACTATAAATATTTTTGTATGTGTCAGTCCTTTTTCCCTTTTTTATGATGTCTTTGGGATACCAAGTACTGGAATTGCTGGATCAAAGGGTATGCACAGTTTTATAGCTCTTTGGGCATAGTTCCAAATTATCTCCAGAATGGTTGTAATCCTCCTAATGTTTACAAATGCCCTCTACAACATTTTTGACAGGTGGTCATCTGGCCACTTTTTAAACACTCCTTTTTTTTTGTAGGGAGCTCACTACTTTGAAAAGGATCCAGTTCGATTGTTTGATAAATCTAATTCTTGGAAATGTCTCCTTCATGTTAAGGCAAAATTTTCCTCCTTTGTCCACTGGTCCTGATGTTACCTCTGCTACAACAAAGATTAAGTATATTTCAACATGAAATTCATTCAAATATGGCTATCACTTCTCCCTAAGTCCTTTCTTCTGCAATCTAGTTTTTTTTTTAAAAAGGCAAGTAATATCTCTATGAAATGGAAATTCATGGTTTCATAAAGAATCCTCTTTTTGTGTTACGTTGTGTTATGAAAAAACTAAAGACAGATATGATTCATACTGAAATTGAGTCACGGGCAGCACTAGGAACAGAACATAGGTTTTAGAATTACAGTGCAGTAATAAAGATATTAACATACCTTCATTGGCTGAGAATTTCATCAACAGAATACGACTTGAACTTAAAGCCACAAACATCACCCCCAGAAGACTTGTGGAAGCCACTGATGTAATGCGTGGTCCAGGCTGACTGCAGCACTTGCCTTCCATTCTAATGTCTGAACTGTCTGGTTGTTTGCAGCCTTTAACAAAGCAAAGCCTTCATAAGCAAAAATTCAGTGTTAGAAAATGGACAAGCAAATTATTTGGCATAACTGATGGCACTTTTCTTAGGCTTATTATACATTGCTTCCCCTGACACCGTCAGTTTGAAGTTGCCTGTATATGACATGCCATCTCCCACTTCTGGTCCTTTGCACAGGCTGTGCCCCATGCCTGGAATGCTCTCCCTCTTTATCTCTACTCCTGGAGCTCTTGGTTTCCTTCAAACATACCTCAAGTACCACTCCTCTGTAGGTTTTTCCTGACTCCCTCACTTATTATTTGTCTGTGCACTTGCAAGACTGTTTCATTGTTTTTGCTTTTGTATCCACAGTACCTAGTACAGTGCTTGGAATATAATAAGTGCTTCTTGAACTGAAATAAAATGGAAACTTATTAAATTATCAAAACTACCAAAGTAAGTTCATCTGCAATAGTACTTCCATTTTAAATTATTTCAGTAAGTGACACTGATGTAATCCTAATAAAACGGCCCCCAGCCCCAATATTCTAACTTCCTTTCCCACTGAAGAGCAGGCCCACTGTTCCTACCTAACTACTGCAAACCCCCCCTCCCCCTGCCCACCCCAGACTCAATATCCTAACTTCTTCATATATGCCTCACTGCTCATTAGAACAACAGGTATGTGTGTCCATGAACTCTTATTTCTCACAGAAACAGCAGGTATGTCCATGTTATGGAATCCCAGCCACTGCCTCTAGATAGTCACTGCCCCCAGACCCATTCCTCATATTTCCCACAAAAACAGCAGATGTGTCCATGCACTCAACCACAACCACATCCATACAGTCTCAGATAGTACCACAATACTCAGCCAATCAGAGAGCAGCACCACTAGGATGCCCAAGCAGGATATGGACCCCAAAACAACAGAAGGGACTTTCCCTAAGTAGGCACCTTCGTAGTAATAGCAAAAGCTGTCCTTTAGGTGAACCTATGACATAGAGAGGCTTATTATAATATCATTATCATATATACACATTCCCTAAATGGGTTTTTCTGTACACATTGTGGGTAATCACGAGCACAGTTCCACTGAGGCTGGGACCCCTCCCTTATTACCTAATGCCTTAACGAACCCCTCCCGTCTTTTTAATATTCACAATTTCTGTTACATAATTGCATCTTTACCCTATAAAAATCCATCTTGCTTTTACTAAAGTTGCTAGTTCCTCTTGGAACTTAGCCTGCCTCATGAGAGACATCAGTCTCAATAAATGCCTATACTTGGATTAGAGGTGGTCTGACTCTGATTCTTTGAGATGGTTCTGCCACAATACATCATGAAATTGCAACAGTTTTTGGCGTCCCTGGGTGGAGACAGTTTCTGACTCTGACCTCCCCTTCCAACTGCAGCACTACCATGTCCAGCCCAATATCTTTCAATACAATCACTATGCTGAAAGTAAACCAATATAGTTAAGCATTCTGTGAAGGCACTTAGTGAAAGGATAATCTAAGTCCTAATTTATTGCCATGTCTCATAAAGCAAACAATTCAATAAATATTAAGTGTATTATTAAGTGTATTATATACATTTAATGTTATATTATATTACTACATTATGTACAGTAATAAGCTCAATTGAGACAGTATTTCTAAATTGAGTACTTTGAGGTCAGGTAGTAGCATCACAGTTAGGATTTTCCTAAAGCTATTAACTAGTGTTGAGTAAATGGGACTTTACAGTTATAGAAGTTGTGGGAAGGCATAAGATACATCTTCCTTGTGCTGATCACTGTCTCAGTGCTTTTCACCAGCTCACTCCAACACCTTCAGGATACCGTTGAAGCCATGGGGCTCCTCTTTATTTCTCTCCCAAGCCCACCCTCTTCCCCAATCACCTGAGATGAAAGGATAGACTTCCCTCTTTCTCAGAGCAACTCCATATAAAGTCAGATTGTCTTTTCAAATTCATCCCTCATTCTTTGCTCCAGGTAAAACATTTTCTAATTACAGCTCAGGGGATGACAGATAGTGTAGCAGAATGATCTGGTGGTATTCATTGTAGTATAGTTCAGAACAGAATAGAGCTAGTACACAAAAGAATAGAGTTCTCAATACATACAGTAGAATGCACAAGAAATCAATGAGGCCTAGGAGGGTAGAAGACATTGTTTTATGATTTAGATATCAAAGTTTACAGTAGTTAAAAGTCCAAGGGCACTTCTGTCTCAGCTCAAATAAAAACTGAAAAGGCAAAGGATTTTTATGAGCAAATGAAGAGCTTTGTGTATTTTTCTGTGGGTGACATGCATTTCAAAGTAAAACCTTACATTATTAGAATGATAAATATGACCAGTAAAAAACCATCAAGCAAACCTGATTCAATTATCTAGTTTTTTAAAATGATTCCATTTTGCCACTTTTTCCAGATATTTCATTTCTGATTATAATCTATTTTCTATGTAGTTTTACAATCAATGCTAATTAAATTGGTCTAGTTAAGCCACATTCACCAACTTCTTCCTAACCAGGTTTCTCCTACACTTCTATCAAACAACTTTTCTATGCACTTGGAAGTTTGCAGAGCACACTTTGAATGGAGGATGCCTTATTTGAGCCTCATAATAAGCCTGGGAGGCAGGGCCAAAGGTGTAGGTGTTATAATCTGAGGAACAGAGAAGCTGAGCTACTTGCTCTTGGTCACATAGCTAATATGGGTCAGAGGCAACAGAAGGGATTTGAACCCAGGTGCTCATGACCCCAAAAGCACTGTATACATTGTGCCTCACTGCTCTGTTACATAATTTACCACTCTCACATTTGCCAATGTTACAGATTCCCCTAAAATAAAACCTTCAATGACTTGAAAATTTAAAAATTTTACAGCTATTGAAGGAGGCATACATTTACTTACTGTTTCCAGAGATAGTGTTTCAGTTTCAGGACATAGTTTACCTCAGGTTAATCTATTTGCAGGTTAGAGTTCAGCTATGGAGCTGAGAGTTTGGTGCTTGGTAGTATTTTTTTTAATCAATAGTCTTGTTGACAATGTTACCATATTGATTTAAGCATGGACAAGGGTTTTATTCAGAAAATGAAATGTTATTATAGAAGTGATATGATGAGAAAGTTGACTCATCATAGAAGTAATACAAATGATTTAAAATCTCATTACATTAAAAATTTTTAAATTCCATTAAATGTCAAAGATGAAGGAATGTTAGGTCACCTATGATAAGATAGTATTGCTGGACTCCACTACACAGATCTCCTGTGGGAGCCCATGATACCAAAGTCACATGCCACACTGTATCCCATCCTCACCCCGGAGGGGTTCAGAGACTGTGGATCTTTAGCAATAAATTGCAAAGACTACCAAGGGATTGGTTTTACTGAGGACTTTGTTACTACTCTCTGATTCAGAGAGTCAGTTGTGGCAGCCTTTGATACCACCTGGGGTCCCTCAGACACTTTGCTAAGACTCATGGCTCAGGGCAAATTGTTTCTGGACTTCCTCTGGGAATTCCTCAAGACCTGGGCCTGCTTGGCCCTCAAAGCCTACTGACTTCTACCTTTCATGTTACAGGTGATGTGGAGGTGTTCCTTCAGAACATTCCTCTTAAAGACAATATTTCTAACTAGGGCACTCTCTGGCTTCAACAGGAGTTAGTGGCCATAGTAGACTATGTTAACTTAAGGATGAAGAGGCCTGTGGCAACTCCCACCAAATTCCCTCTCTATCTAGGTGATGATGATGCTTGATTTTATTGTGGACTTGTCTTCCTGGTAAGTAGTTTTAGGCACCCTGGACAAGTTATATTGTTTCCTAGCCAGTTTAATACTTCCTATCAGCTTTGAGGGCATTTGCTTCAATTCAGGAACATCTCTCACATATCACCTCTAATCAAGGTTCCCTGTTTATCTTACATTTCAGGACCTCAGGATCATTATTCATTATCTCCCAAATAAAGATTCACCTTTCTATGACATGTTGCTTTTTGTCCAGTGCGCACGTGGAGCACAAAAAAATGAATCCTGGAAGAACATCTTCAGTTCTACACCTACTATATCAGGATAATTAGACCACCCTGCCTGTGTAATTTTCTTAGTGGAAAGTCTAACCACCAGTCCTCTCAGGACATGCCATTTTACATGACCTATGTCTTCCACTTTTGTTTTCCTATATTTGTTGAATGATAGGAGTTGAAGGCCACTTAGGCTATGTGTACCTAGACTGACATACCAACAGAAGAAAAACCACTATCACAACCGCTGGGTAATTCTGAAGCCAAAGAGTTCTTATAATTTTCATACCAGTAGAGCTTCTCAAAACATGAACAAAAGGCAGCAGGCTTTACTCCTATTACTCAAATAGTAACTCCTTGGACCTAGTAGCTCAGGCTTCACCTGACATTATACCAGGCCTTGTTAGGTTATGGCAATAGCCTGCTAATTGGTCTCCCTGCATCATCAACCCACCCTCCACAGAGCTGCCAGAGCAATTTTCCTAAAGCTCAGGTCTGACTGTATCACTTACCTGCTCAATAAACTCCAATGGCTCTGGAAGCCAAGATGGAGTAAGCAGTAAATCACTGTAACTCTCCCATAATTACCTCCAAACAACCATAAAATAGTGCCCCCAAACAAACCCTGGAACAACAGAACCACCAAAAAGACAGGGTAAAACAAATTTTTAGCCCAAGAAACTTGGAAGATCAGCAAGAAAGGTCTGTCTCACTTCGGTAAAAAGGGGAACACATTCCAGGATAGGAAGCTTCCCAGTAAACCAGCAGCAAGCTTCACCTCAGCAAACCAATAGGAGATCCTGAGCCCCACTGTGGTGGAGCAGGCAAATGCCAACACCAGGAACCCCCATGTGCCTTAGCATAGCAGAGGGAACCAGTAGACTCCAGCTCTAAAAACCACCACATGCTTCAGCACAGCCCCAGGCAAACAGGCATCCTCCAGCATGACAAGAAAGTAAGCCAGACCTCCACATAGTTCACTGTAGCTCCAGGGAAATGCAAAAACACTCCACTGGGCCTCAGCACATGCCAGACAGCACCACTAGGATCCCAGCTCAGGGCCACGTAAGCTGCCAGACCCCTATACTTTCCAGCAGCACCAGATCCCCCCACCCCACCCCCTCAGTACAGTACTAAATACTGAGGGTCCTTCTGGCCTTAGGGCAACATCAGCACAGCACCAGGTAAACAGCCAGGGCATGCAGCCACTGGCATAAGAAGTTTGAGACAGAGCCTCTTCCACTCTGGGGGCAGAGCTCAAATTTAAAAGAATGGAAAAAGGACAAAGAAAATTAGCCAAAAAAAAAACCCAACAAAAAAAGAATCTGACCAAAGAAAGTTATTATGGGGACAGGGAAGACCAAGACGCGAACTCAGAAGAAGTCAACAATGTCAAAACACCTACGGGTAAAATCCCAAAGAAAAATGGGAAGTGGGCCCAACTGAATCAATAAAGATAGAGAAAAATTAGATATGACAGACCATTGGTATGATTTAAACATAAAAGGTGACACCATAAGCAAATTAGAAGAGCAAGGAATAGTTTACCTGTCAGATCTATGGGGAGGGGAAGATAGAGAACATTACAAAATGTAAAGTAGATAATTTTGATTATATTAAATGAAAAAGCTTTTGCACAAACAAAACCAATGCAACCAAGATTAGAAAGAAATCAGAAAGACAGGAAACAATCTTCACAGCAAGTGTCTCTGGCAAAGCCCTCATTTCCCAAATATATAGAGAACTGAGTCAAATTTACAAGAATACAAGCCATTCCCCAATTGATAAATGGTGAAAGGATACAAACAGGCAGTCTTCAGATGAAGAAATTTAAGCTATCTATAGGAATATGAAGAAGCGCTCTAACTCATTTCTGATTACAGAAATGCAAGTTAAAACAACTCTGAGGTACCACTTCACAGATTAGCTAATATGAGAGAAAAGGAAAATGATAAATGCTAGAGAAGATGTGGGAAAATTGGGACACTAATGCACTGTTGGTGGACTTGTGAACTGATCCAACCATTCTAGAGAGCAACTTGGAACTACATCCAAAAGGCAACCAAACTGTGCATATCCTTTGATCCAGGAATACCACTACTAGGCCTGTATCCCAAAGAGATCATAAAAAAGGGAAAAGGACCCATGTAGGCAAAAATATTTATAGCAGTGTTTTTTGCGGTTGGCAAAATATTGGAAATTGAGGGGATGTCCATCAATTGGGGAATGGCTGAACAAGTTATGGTATATGAATGTAATGGAATACTATTGTACAATAAGAAATAATGAGCAGGCAGATTTCAGAAAAACCTTGAAAGACCTGTACAAATTGATGCACAGTGAAATGAGCAGAACCAGGAAAATATTATACACAGTATCAGCAACATTGTATGATGATCAACTATGAATGATTCAGCTCTTCTCAGCAACACAATGATCCAAGACAAGTAGAAAGAACTCACAAATGAAAATATCCAGATAAAGAACTAACAGACTCTGAATGAAGACTGAAGCATATTTCTTTCATTTTAGTCTCTATTGTGCTTTTTTTCCCCCTTTTGACCTATTTCTTCTTTCACAACTGTGGATAATATGGAAATATTTTTACGTGATAGCACATGTATAAACTATATCAAACTCTCTACCATTTTCAGAGAAGGAAGAGAGGGAGAAAATTTTGGAACTCGAAGCCTTGTAAAAATGAATGCTAAAAATTTTCTTGACATGTAACTGGGGAAAAATAAAATAATACTATTAAAAAATAAACTCCAATGGCTTCTTGCTGCATTTATTTTTTTGTTTGGCATTCAAAAGCCCTTCATAACCTGGACCTAACCTATCTCTTTGGCTTTATTATATAGCCCTCCCAAACTCTATGGTGTGACCATACTGGCCTTCTTGTTCTTCAAATGCAACGTTCCATCTCCCACTTGCATGTGTTAATTAGCATTTATCACCTGCCATGAATTGTACTAGGAGCTAAGGATACAAAGAGAAATCAAAACCAAACACAATTCTGGCCTTTAAGGAGTTTATATTCTAATAGTTTAGACTATTATATGTCTATAAATTAGAATGTACAAGATACATAAGGAGTAAATGGAAGGTAATATACAGGGCATGACACTAGTAGCTGGGAGGACTATGAAAGGCCTTCTGGAGAAGGCCGAATTTGAGCTGAATCTTAAAGGAAGCCAAGAAATCCAAGAATCAAACAATGGGAGACAGAGCATTCAAGGCACTGAATAGCAAGGCCAAAGGCAAGGAATAGAAGATGGAGTGTCATGGACAAGGGACGATAAGTGGACTATCGTGGCTGCACTGTAATATTCATAGCAAGTAGTAAAATGTAAGAAGGTTGGAAAAGTAGGAAAAGGACAAGTTGTGAAGAGTTTTAAGTGTCAAAGATCTCTACACCCTGCTATGCTTTAAGCAAATCACTTTGGCAGCTACGTGGGATGATTTTGAGTTGAGAAAGATTTGAGGCATGGAGAGAAATTATAAAGCTACTGCAGTGATCCATTCCTGAGGTGATGAAGGCCTGAACCAGGACAGTAGCTGTGCAAGGGGAATGTCTTTTTAAAAAGTTATAGAGGAAAAAATTGCAAGATTTGGCAACTGATTAGATATGTGGAATAACTGAAAGAAGAGTTGAGGCTGCAAATCTGAATGTCTGGGAGGATGGTCATCCTCGAGGCAATAATAGGAAAGTTTGGGAAAAGAGAAAATTTGAGAGTAAAGGTAATGAATTCTGTTTTGGACCTGTTGAGTTTGAAATCCTTATAGGTCATCAAGTCTGGAATGTCTAATGGCAGTTGGTGATGCTAGGCTGGTGCGGAGGAGAGAGAGTAGGACTAGATAAATAGGGAATCATATGCAGAAATGATAATTGATCTCATGGAGGTGACAAGATCACTGATTGAGAATGAAAAAAGAAAAATGACTATGTGCAAGTCTCTCAACATTTCTGTTTCTCAGGTCATTATACTTGAGGTCCTACCACAGGCTTATTATAAGGCTCAAATGGCCTAATGCACTCTATACTCTCTTCATTTATATGCTCCTTAAAATTCTTTGTTTCCTCAGTTCAGGTGCCCCTTCTACATGAGGCCTCTCCACATCTCCTCAGTTGCTGATGTCCTCCCCCTGAAAAATAATTTTGTACTTATTTTATATACATATACATATATATTCCATGTTTTCTACCCAGACAGAATGTAAGTTCTCTGAAGGCAGCTGCTGTTTCTTTTTTATCTTTGTATCCCTACAGGGTCTGGTACCCCCTTGGTGTGGTTAATAAACTGACTGATAATATCACCTCAACCCCAAATTATACCCCCTAGAGAGCTGCTCACCATTGATAATTGTGGAAAGTACACTGTTCAGGATACCCTTAAGAAGAAGGAAAAGGTAGGGACAGCTGCCTGTACCTGGTAGATCAATGAAATTTTTAATACCTGGTGTGCATTTCTTATAACAAGACTGTTAGGATTAAACCAACATTTATCGAAGACTGAAAAGGTAAAGAATTTATCCAAAGTCATACAGCTGATTAGTGGCAAAGCAAGGACTAGAATCCATATTTCCTGATTCTCTCTAGCACTCTTTCCATTATATCGCATTTATATTATATTCCAGCTATGGAACCAAAAACTTATCATAGTATTATAATAAGGACCTCAAAAATATTGAATATAGGGAGGATTTTCCTATAGTTTACCCTTCTTAAATTTTTGCAGTATCCTGAAGCAAATCCTATTACTGAAGCCAAGAGAGTCTGAAAATTTGTTTAGGCTTTCATGTTTTTACCTTATTAGTACCACTCCCATCTGCTGGTTGTTCTGTCTCTCACATGGGTTTACTCTCCTATTTTCATAACCAAGTAAGATGCTTTCAGTTTTGTCTCTTGAAGGAGAAGGTATAGGCCAGTGTGAACATTCAGTTACAAGCAGAGCACCTACATGTGCAACTTCAACTACTTCTACAGAACTTATTCAATTGCTAATATTCATAATGATGCTGCTGAAAAAGTTAGGCAATAGTCACTATATAACAAGCTGCTTTAGCTCTTGAGAGAATGGCTGAGCTGACTGTTCCAGAGAGACTGAGGACTACTGATGAACTTTTATTATTCCATTTATTATTTAAGAAAACTTTTTATTAATATGACATAGCTCAGAAATTGTTACATTTTTGTGGACAATTATATCTGTTTATACTCATTAAATATCTGATTTAAATTTTTAATAATAAAATAATTTATGATTAAACTCAGTTTCCTTTATAAGCACATTATTAATCCTTTCAAATTCTGAACAAAGTGGTATACTTGCAAAAATCTAGCTTTATTTTTTATCTGTGATTTTTACTTCCTACTTCTAATTAAAAATTAAATATGAACCTGCTTTTGAATGAAATACATTAATGAGTTTCAATGATTAATGTAATCTTTTCTTGCCTTTTGTTCTATGTTCTTCAACAGAAATAGCAATTTTTACATTGTGGAGACAATTTGTTTTACTTATTTTCTAGGCCATAGAAAACATGGGAAAAATATATCACTGAAGTCTGAGTCCCTCAGGCCTAAACCTTGTAATATATCAATGAAGCAAAGATTATAATAACCAAATTAGTCAATGTTTAAAGGATCTGTCGTTTCATTGATAGGAATATTACCTCCAATGACGTACTGTAATAGAGTTCCTAATGCCTTCCCTCCAACTTCCCCTCCTATCCCCATACAATAGTCTTACCCAGATAATACCCAGATGATATGCTTGCCCCAGGTCATAGGAACAGGAATTAGAGTTAAAATAACTCTGGAGGTAATTTAGTCCAAATCCATAATTTTATAGATGAGAAAACTGAAGTCAGGTGGGTAAAATGTGGCAGATTCGGAATTTTAATCCAGGTCCTCAGACTCCAAGTCAAATACTCTTCATTACAGCACACTGAAGTCATCAAACAGCTGATGTAATTTGTGGCATACCGAATTAATGAGGTCAAGACAGACCTGGCTCTTTACAGCAGCTGAGCCCAAAGTAGGAGCTGGTGTCCACTGAGAAGAAAGATGTAGTGTCTTATCATAAGGTTTATCTCTCCAGTACAACCACACCTACTCTCATTCCCCAATATTCTCTCACTAAATCACCTCCTCCATTCTGAGCTGGGCCTCAGCGCTTCTGGCCAGTTGTACCTAAATAGCAGGTGCCATTTGAAAACTCAGCCTCCCCTCTCTACTCCCATATATCCACTCCCTGACCTCACTCACCTCATGACTGAGATAGATACCTCTCCAAGAGTGGTGGTCTTCATTTGAGCTGTGCAAAAAGACCTCCCCTCTTTTTATTCTGGATGAGTAAGTTGCACAGCATGAACAGATACGAATAGGTTTCAACATAATCTCGCCCCACATAAGCAATTGTCAAGTATTGTTTCTTCTTCCATATCTACCTTATCTGTCTCCTTCTCTCTACTCAAACAGTGACCACCTTAGATCAGGGCCTGGACCATTCTATAACCTCCTAAAATGGTCTCCCAGACTCATCTCTCCCCTCTCTCTAATCCATTCCCAATCAATATTTCCAATGGTGCTTTATCAAGTGCCTAATTTTTTTTTATCAAGTGCATAAAAACTGCTTTATTAAGCACCTTCTATGTGCTAGCACCTGACAAAGTGATTTTCCTAGTTCTCAGCTGATCATGTCACTCCCCTACTCAATAAGTTCCAGTGACTATTGACTCTAGGATGAAATATTATTTATTATCTTTTAAGTTTTATGACATGCAAAATTATTAGCAAGATCATAATTTATAAAGAAGTATATGCCAAGATCACAGGTGTATATAATTTATAAAGAAGTATATGCACACTGGACATGTTTGCTTAAAAATTTTTTTACTGATATCAGTGCAAGATAAAGTTTGGACACCAGTGCTCTACAGGATAAATGTCAGGATAACCTCCAAGAACTCAAGAGGCTTAAAAACTGATTCATTTCATTGGCAATTTCATTCAAACATTTATAAAGCACCTACTATGGTCAAGGAGATAGGAGTTGAAGATATCACAACAGGCCTTTTAATGAAAGAATAACTTCAAGGCTACAGTCCTTTCGGTGACCCTCCTTTTTTTCTGCCTTAGCAGAAAAAGTATTCTGATAGCATTTGAGTTCCTCCACATGAATTTTAAGAATGGCACCAAGAAAGGAAATGAATTTAGCTCCCTGCCATCAAAGAGAACCCCTACCTAAGGAGGAGAAACCCCCAAGTTTGTCCGGATTTGTCTTCCCTTCCTTCTCTCGATCTCTCCCCTCAGACAAAAACAAGGGCACTTTGATTTTTCACAAAATATCTTAGGATGGTATAACATATTTGAGGAGACAGAAACTCCAGGTAGAGAGGAGAGGGAAACACAAGATTCGCATTCTTATTGTAGACAATGACGCGTTGTGATTGTAGCCCCCACAAAAGTGTCTGAGAAATACCTCAGCCAGAGGCCAAAATGAAGGGGAGGGAGAGGAAAAAAGAACTTCGTGGTTAACAGGAAATTCTCTCTTAAAAAAAAAACCGAGAAAAAAAAGTAAACAGTTTTTCTACTTAGAGAGCCCAAAGCGCAGAGTGGGTTCAGCTCCAGATGGAGGCAGAAGGGCCTGAGGTGACTCTTGGGCCTTTAAACCTGAACCACTTTGGCTGTGGGAACCTCCTCACAGCCACCAGAGAAAGTGGGGGTCCTGGGCGCGCGAGCTCGCCCCCCTACACCGGCACTTCCCAAGAGCTGCCCCACGCAAGGTCGCCCCGCTCTTCCACCAGCCCGAAATGACAGCTCCCAAACGTGCAAGCGCATTCCAGGGACCAGCAAGCTCCGCCCAGCATCACGTGACAAGGATTCCTAAGACCGCCCCCCCTTTTCGCCTCCGCCACCGAGAGAAAAAAACCAACACCCAACAAACCTCTTCTTACACATGCGCAGTGGGCTCATAGTGTCTTCCTCAGTGGGCGCCTCTCTGCCTACGCATGCGCTGCTTTCAATGCGCGGGGCGCTGTTACCTATCGCTGGTGCTGGGTACACCTGCGTAGAAGGAAGCCCATCCTAGGCTGGCGGTACACGCCAGGCTGGGCAGTGACGGGCCGATGTAGCAGCCGTAGATTTTGAAAATTGTCGAGGAAGGAGAAGGGAGTGGGGGGGGCGATGAGGGGGAAGAAACGGACCGATAAGATCGTTTCTGTTCCCTAAGGCTCAGCTTTTCGAACTGCCAGAAGAATTAGTACCTGAACATACCAGTCAGGAAATGAGCCGCTAAGGGGACCCACTGCGCAGGCGCATCATCTGGGGGGGTGTTTGTGAAATGGGAGGAGAGAGCAGGGGGAGGCCCATGTGGCTCCGCCCCTTCTCTCCTCGCATCACGTGCAGGAGGAGTCCGGGGTCATGTGAGCCCTCCGATGGCAGTGAGGTTCTAAACTACGGCGAGAGAGGGAAGGAAGCAAGGGGTGCGAGCCCGTGAGAGGCAGGAAGGACAAGGCGCGCGCTTGGAGGGAGGGGTGCGCCGCTGCGCTCACCCGCTCCTCTTCCCCCAACTTTCCCCTGGTTTAACTCCTGGCGGCCGACAAGGTCCGAGGTAGCGAGCTCTCGCGCCGGGAGCCGGCTGCCCATCCCCCGCGGGGGCCGCTTGTGGGGTGTGAGGCGGCCACGGGGGGCAGGACACCCCGGTCCGCTCCGGTTCCGGTCCCATCCCCCGCCCCCTCCCCCACCTCCCGCCCCGAGCTCCCGGAGCCCAGTGCGCGGCCCGCACCCCGCGCCGTCGGCCCCGGCCCCGGGATGCAGAACGTGATTAACACGGTGAAAGGGAAGGCGCTGGAAGTGGCCGAGTACCTGACCCCCGTGCTTAAGGTAACCGGCCTCGGCCCCGGCTCAGAGGGAGGCTAACCCGGACTCCTGTCCCGCCGTCCCCGCCCCCGCCCGGGGAAGCTGGTGGCGGGGGGATGGGGACCCACTGACCCGCTGTCCCCGTGGGGACACTTGGCAGAGACGGCGCTAGTTGGTGTGCGACCCTTGAGCTGATGCTCAGGAACTGCTTGGATGCCACCAAGTCCCTGCTCGGCTGGGATGACTGTCAGCTGCTGAGGACTTCGCACCGGGAAGTCAGGGATAGGGAAAACTCGTCTGCGGTGGTCCTGCTTACCTGGGCGACCCTCCCTTAAAAGGATGGCCTTAGGAGCTGCTGTTACTGCTAGCCTCCCCTCTCCCTCCTTCCACTCTCCCATTCTCCCGTTGCTGTTCAAACTATTATTTTTAGGTTTTCTTGGCCTCTGTATGTTCCCTTTCCCAGTACTTTATTTTAGGGCTTGAGCATATAGTGGCATTACGTGGTCCTCAGAAGGCAGAGGCAGGAGCAAATTGAGTGAGGGTTGCAGAGAGGCAGGTTTTGGTATCCTGTAAGGAAAAACTTTCAGAAAACTAGTTCTATCAGAAAGTGGAATGGCGTGCCTTGGAAAGTAAGTGTATGCCTCATCTCTGTCTGGAGGTCTTCATGACTATTAATGTCAAACGTTAGAGACTTGAAGGGGATTCCTTAGGTACCATTTGAAACAAGCTAACTTTTGAAGTCCTTACAGCAGTGGTGTCAAACCTAAATAGAAAACAGATCCCTGCTGGCCACATATTTGAGTTAGAAAACCACAAAATTAACATGCTTTGTGTTGTATTATATATTTTTTTTATTTTGTTAAATATTTCCCAGTTACATTTTAATCTGGTTCTTGGGAGTTTTGCTGCCTCAGTTTGACCCCTCTGCTTTAAAGCACTGAGATTCTGTAATGGATGGCAGTGCTGTTGACTCAGAAACTTAGACTTTAAAACGATCACATTTGTAATAGTTTAGAATAAAGTTTCTTGACAACTTGAAATACATTGATTGAGCTCACAAGTATTGTAGATGTGGTAACTAAGGGTATGGACTACTCCTGGGATTAGAAAGGGTCAAGGAAGTTTTGGAGCAAAGTAGAGGAATTTAAACTTATTTTCATTCTGAAAAGGTTTTTACTGGACCTTTGATTTTGTTGGTATAAGGCTGTGAAATTCCCTTTGCTAATACATATCAGCATTCCTTCTGAAATTTAGTTTTAGAGAATTAGAGGGGGAAGGAGGGAGGAAAGGGGGATTAGTAAGATAAGTAACTTGCTCAGGTTTATACAGCTAGTATTGTGGGAGGCCCTTTTCTTTATACACTGTGCCACTGCTGCCACTCACTGCAAAATTGTTGTTTGTACTTTGTAAGTACAGTAAGTTCTTTCAATCCACAACATTTTAATCTGGTTGGGGCTGCACTTGGGGGTTTTGCTGCTGGAGTTTGACACCTCTGCATTACAGCCCCAATGAATAGAAATGAAAACTTTTCTATACAATATAATCCCTTTACCATTTCACTTTAAGCCACCAGAGTTGTGCAGGGTTTTGGGAAACATGGCTCTAAATTGACTTAAAATATCAAACATTTTGTTCTCTGAAAATTTTATAAAAACCATCTATTTAAGTTTTATTAAAGTTCTGACAGAAGTATAAAACTGTAACTAAAGTTGAATCCTAAAATTTAAATTTGCAACAAACTGAACCCCCATTTGCTTCCTCTTAAGTTTTTTTTTTCTTTTTCTCACCTAGATATTGCTGGCTAATATAATTAGCACCAAATATCTTATGGACTTTAGTAAGAACAGATGTAAAATTAGCCCTCGAATTGATAGCCTTTCTAATGAAAAATATCAACTGCATTATGATACGTATAGTAGGAATCATCCAAATGTTCTATTTTCTTAACACTTTTTAAAAAAATATATTTGTAGATTATGAGGCTACTTCCTGCTTTTGTAACTTATGTCATAAGCCATTAGAATTGTATAATGGCTTTTTGTATATCCTTTCTAAAGAACAAATTATGGTCGTTAGGAATATCTGACTACCCCTCAGTCTTATTTTTGAGAAATATGTTAAGGTTCTTAATGAGAATTTAAACATCTTTGAAAATGTCTAAGACCTGGTTTATTTAAGATAAATAGAAAGCTATACCTGGCAAGCTGGAAACAACATTAAGACCATAGCAATAGCTCAGAACATCCAGTGATGAGGTCAGCTTGGAGGGAAAATGCATGTTGGACTATATTTTCATGCTCATTTACAATTTTCTTTCAAGGTTATGCTTCAGTGCCTAAACTTTTTTTTTTTAGTCTGGGATTTGGAATTTAAATTCTTGTTCAGCTTTGACTTTTCTATACAGTATGACCTCTGGTAAATCATTAAATTATCTAAAAATGGGAATAATAGTTTGCATCTATGTCAAAAGCAAATACTGCTTTGGCACATAATTTTAGCTTTTTTTTTTAATACAGATGTGTGGAACCAAGCATTTAGAAGGAACCTTTGTGTCCAAAGTAAAGAAACATGAGAAAATTTAGTTGAGTCAAATGGGAGTTGCTGTTATGTATGACATATACTATTAGAAATGAAGTAAACACAAAGGAGGATATTTTTTTCTGTGAAAGACCATAGACCTGTAGAAATCAGTTGAGAATCACATATAAAAAGTAACTTTGGATATTTTGGGGGGGGAAGGGGAAGAAATTCTCCACTTTTAAAATTGACAGTAAGAATCTTTAAAACATTAAATAACATGTTATTTAGAAAAACAAGTAGATTAGGGTACAGAACATCTATTTGGCTTCTTGGGTGCAACTCTGTGTAATAGCTAGTTGTCTAACTTTGGCTAAGTCGCTTAACTTTTCTGGGTCTAATTTTTTTCAGGGGACTCTAAACTTCCAACTCTGAATAAAATGAATAACAAAGTTCAAAAACTAAGCAAAAAACTTCCTTTAGTTGGAAAACTCAAGTAAAATTTTTTGGTTTTGTTTTTTTGGCTAGGCAGTGGGGTTAAGTGATTTGCCCAGGGTCACACAGCTAGTGAGTGCTATGTGTCTGAGACTTGATTTGAACTCAGGTCCTCCTGACTCCAAGGCTGGAGCTCTATCCACTTCACCACCTAGCTGCCCCGAAAGTAAAACTTTTAATGAATTATTTTCTGAGACTTTTAATACTAAATTAAAATCATTTAATTTAGGCTAAACAGAATTGATAGTGAAGTGATAGTAAACTCGTGTAGCCTTCGCAACATCAGCAGAAAAGTTATTTCTGAGCAATTTGATGGTTGTCAAGGAAGGTTGAAAACAGCATCAGGTTTCTAAATTTCATTTCTAAGACTTCTCCAGAATCTAATTGAGGATAAATTAAGTAAGCTTTGTAGTGCTTTTAAATGTCTTTGATACCATTTCACTTGCTTGTGCGGTAAAGATTGTGCATTTTTAAGGCTTATTAAGTATAAACAGCTGTAGCTTTATGCTTTGTCAATGTAAACTCCTTTTTTTGGTTCATTTCAGGAATCAAAATTTAAGGAAACGGGTGTGATCACCCCGGAAGAGGTAAGTTTAATTTCTTTTAGATCTACTTGTAGAAGATTTGTAGTATTTAGCTCTGATTTTGATAGTTCTATAAATTCTGTAGTCCTCTACCCTTGGAGGGATTGTCAGCATTGATAAGGTCATAGATCCATTTCCCTAATTGTACTAAATTAATGGTTGTTTTCCCTTCTCACGTTAAAAATATTCTAAATACTTACCTTGCTTGGAGTAAAATTAATCCATTTCCTCCATAATTACAGATTTTACGAAAATGTACAGCTTAGAACTACTTCCCGTAGAAGGGGTTAATTCTTCCTCCTCTTCTACTTTACCAAATTTCTACATAGTTACTCTTTCCATAGAAATAGAAATGATGTAGCTAATCAGGTCTTCCAAGCTCTTTTCATATTTAGATGGCACTGATGCTTCATTTAGCTTTACCTGTGCAAAGCAGTGTGTTTTCACATCCCCTTTCTAGAGACTGTCCTATAATATTTATGTTTTCTTAAGCTTTTCTAAAATGTTCCTTTCAATTCAACAAGTATAAAGCTTCTACTCTGTGCAAGGTATGATGTTAGGCACTGCTTAAATGTTTCAATTAAATATTTCTATTTATCATACTGAATAGTTGCACCCTTCCTTTCAGTATTCACTCTTAACAAATAAAGTGGAACCCCTTTAATGATGGACTAAGGGAATAGAAGGTAATATACATGTTACAGACTATATAATGATATTATATTGGGTTTTTAAGCTATAGTATAAGGAATATGAATCTGCCTACAGTACATTCCAAAAATCTGTGTAATACTGGGTTTCTGTTAAATTCTAGATAGTTTGCTTTTATTTGCCTCTTATTATAGGCATATGTCCTGGTTAAACTGACACTGTAATGCATAGGAGCCTAAAAATTAGACCAAGGAGTCATAAAAGCCATTGCCAGAGGTGGCAACCTGTTATATGGCTACCTTCATATGCCCTTTGTGCTTTAGTATGTGTCCCACCTACCTAAATATCACTCCTTTGGAACTCTTTTAGTCTATTGGGGGAGCAAATGAGGGATGGAACAAGTCCATTTTCAAACTAAATTTACTAGTTACATAAGCGTGTGATTTAATTTTATAAGCACATCAGTTTTATTCTTTGATTCTTTTAGATACCAATGCCACAGGTTTTATGAACAGTTGAAAAAGTTGTATCTGGTTCATTTTTAAAAATATTTCTTGAACTAGTACAGATCTTGAGGTCTTCTGTTATTTAAGATTCTCCCAATTGGTCTTTCCCTCCAAAAGAGGAAAAAAATGTCATAAGCAAGTTAATTGACAGTATAAGTT